AGAGTAAAATGCTTCTAAGCGGCTCGACCTAATATCATGCTCGAAGTCAGTTCTTCCACCTGCTAAGCTCCTATATTGCTAGCTATGCGGTCTCGCACGGTGTTCAGGTCGGCACTTCAGGTCCTGATTGGCCAGCAAATGCAGCCATCCATTATAGAGCTCAGTCAGATAGTTTTACAAATAGTTCTTAATTCCAAATGCTTTAAATAAGATCCATAAACCCACAAAATTTCGACCGACATTTTTAAAAAATCCACCAAAATATAAAATAATTCCAATTAATTTAACCCAATTTAAAATAGTCCTTAATTTGAAAAAAATTTCATGCAAATGCAAAAAAATCTTTTTAGCGAGAAAAAAGACGACATTTGTAAGGTAATTTGCAAAGTTTTTTCAGATAATGCAACAATGTTTTTGATACGCATAAAGCGTGGAATCGGCGAAGATTGTTGTTTGAGGAGATGTCGGGTGGAATATCTGAAAAAACTTTGTTTGGGTTAGTCATCCGTATGCGATCTAAATTCGAGATGTGTGTGCACCATAGTAGAATGAGTTTTATAATTTGTTGAGAGAAATTTATTTATTTTGCTTGTCTTATGAGAGAGAGAGAGAGATTCCTTTTTTCTACAGCTCTACTAATCATTTTAAGTTTGGCTGTTTCCACTAACCACGAAAGTGGAGCTTTTTCCCAAAGGAGTCACTTGTAGATAGACTTATAGTTCTTTGGAATAGGTTTAGCTTTAGAATTTGGCTTTAGAGAAATAAATCGACACTTTAAGACTCCACTGGACTATATTAACAATTTAAGTCAAGCCAAGAACATTTATTTAATATTTCAGATGAAGAAGAACTTGATTCATTGAACGAATCTCGAGTACCAACCGAAGAAAACGAACAAGCGACACGATAGTGTAACCGCTTTAATTAAGATCAAATTAATCAAATTAATCAATTTTTAATTATAATCCAGTAAATCTTTTTAAATATTCAATGTCCACATTTCTTTTCAACTCTCATTCAAAGGATAAAATACATCCGAAAGAAAAATATGAAGCACAACTTATAATAGATATGCAACGATTTTCTGGGAAATTCCCCATCCGAACCTGGTCCTACATCAGTCCATCAGTGTTGTGGATAGTCTCTGAGGCCTTTCTATAGATCTAAATCTTGATTCCTATCTGATGTGCTGGGTAGATTGTTTTTTTGTTTGGTACCTGTACTACTGTGATCAATGCCTCAGTGCTGTCTTTTACTCGAGCTTTTTCCAATCACCAATACCTCAGCTATGTATCACATATCTCATGCAAGGTCTTGTTTCCCTTGTTTGTTTGATATTTCTCGAATGCTTGTTGATGCTACAAGTATTCTCTCAGTAGCTCATCCTTTACTACCATCTTCAATGTATTCTTGAATGAATTTCCTTCAAGACAGTTGCTTTATCACTGATCAAGCCCCACTCATATTTTTTTGGGCTGGTGTACATCTTTGAGTGTAGAAATGAGTGTAGAAATGGAAATTTCCGTGCATTGGGGCGAGTCCTTTATGGTGTGGATTTTGCTTTTTCCATTTAGCTCGTTGTTTAAAATCTGTCTTATTCTCTGGTTGTTGCCTTCCATGCCTCTTCATCATGTTATTGTCAAGATACTTGTAGCTGGTCTATATATGTTGCTATGTGCCGCTGGTAGTTCCACTCCATCAGCATCCTACTTTTCCTCTCATGCCACATTTCTCCGAATAACATGCCAGTCTCCTCAGTGTAGAACAGATGAATGAGCGAATCAATGCCCCCTTTGCTTTTAGCATTAGCATATAACTTGATATCATCCAATATAGATGATGATAGTTCCACTTCTGAACTTATATATATATATATATCCATGTCCATTTTTCATGATCGTCTTGATGTGAGAGGTCAAACCCTATGCAGAACAGCAGCAAGAAAAATTTTCATCACCTGCAATGTTGATGCTGCAATGTTGCCATTTACGCAAAATATTCAAATCTGACTTCCCTGGCTTCATTTGTCATTTTCTGGAATCTCATTGATAAAATTTTTTAAGATCTTGTTGACTTTGTATTGAACACAATATTCACAGATCCATATGAGGACCATCAAATTATAGGCTTTTAAATAATCATCCGGACTATGTTCAGAATGACTGGTCAGGATCTTCAATCTTACTCTATTTACTCCACGCTATGGGGAGGCAGGTTATTGGCCTCCAGTTCGACGGTGATGTGCTTCTTTTCATATCAAAACTTTTTATATTTTTATAACTTTTCATATTTTCATTTCACATGAAATGGTGGTTATCTGTGTCGCTAATCGTTCATAAATTAATTTCTTTAATTATTGTGGATCATGTCCAAACTATATGCTGTCCAGCATTTCATGTTCTTTACCTTTTATTATATACCAGCCAATAAAAAGATAAAAATGATTCCATCTGTGGGAAGATAGCTTCTCAAGCCTGCAGCCACTTTATGCAGATCTTTTTTTTTAAAGAATCCTCACTGGTTAAAGTCGCTCCGCTGGCTGGCTTGTCGCATTGGATAAATCGCAGGAGATCCCTTGGCAATAGAAATAGATGAGCCAACATCACCCTGATTCTTACACAGGTTTGCTCCTGCGGGGAATCGAACCTCAGCATCGGCGCTCCGAATTTAGCAACAACCCATTGAGCCATTCTATTCCCCCACTTCGCGCCGGTTATGGATCTCCTTTTGTATATATATATATTTTTGTTATATATATATATGTATATATAACAAAAAGAATCGAATGCACAATGTTAGTCGCTTAGGATTGCACTTTACAATTCCCCGAGAGCATCCTAATGATACGCTCTATGGCAATGAAAAAAGAAGCAAATTAAAGGGAAATAAATTAGGGTAAATTAGGAAAATCTGTAAAGTACATATACCTATAAAAATAAGAGGAATTCAGGATATTAATGCTTTGACCAAATCTGTTGACCATTTCGGAAAATAATAGATACACATTGTATTTTACCGCACATGCAGATGGTGCTATAACTGACTGAGTTACACGACAATAACCACTAAGAAATACTGAATTCTAGCAAATTTCGGAATTTTCATCTAAAACGACCATCACCCTCGAATAATCATCGATAGAGGATAGCAACTCTAGGTGAAAATCTCAGTGTAATAGCCAGCAAACCCGAAATGTTTGAGGAAGAAACACAGTCTGAGGCGATATTCGGCTGATTACAATAGCCAATAATTAATTTTATAAGAACATTCCAGAAGAGAGAAATTTCCCGGGAAGAATTTAATAAATAAATTACTTTAAAGATCGCGCATCGATTTAAAATTATAAATAATAAACCAAAAAATTTCGAATTATTAGAATCATTCAAAAATAATCTAAAATAATAAATAAAAGAAAGTTTTATGAATGAAAGTTGAATTGACACAATTCGCAACTAAATTTACGTCTATTGAAATTATTTCGAGAAATCTTTCTTAAAAATAGATAAAACTTCCAAGAAGTGAAATTTCGCATTCGTTTTTAAGGCTAAGAAAAACAAAAAAGTAAAGATCTTATGTCTAATTTAACGTTAAATAATTCATTGTTTTCCTGGCAAAAATCACGAAAGACGCGAAAAAAACCCCTCTTAGAAAGGAGAATTGAACAGATGGTTGAACACTGAGCTGTGCCAGCGTACGGTTCCTTCTCGCTGCGGGCATCCCTGAAACGCCACTCGACTTTTGCCACCGCTCCATTCGCATTTATTTCTTTTATTTCCTGCTAATATAAAATACAAGCCAACCCAACTGAAGTTATATCATCCATCATCCATGGATGATCCATTTAATAGCATTGTTTTCCTCTGTTTATTTCTTTTAAGAATGCGAAGTTGTATGCGATATTTGCATTCTTTTAAAACTCCTTATTTGTTTGATTCCTTAAAATATATTTCCAAATTGGAAATTTAATAAATATTATATTAAAATTAAGAAATTGGATTAAATATTATAATGGAGCGAATTCTTTTAGGAAAAAATTGTAAAAAACAAATCTTTTTTCTAAATTTCTTTTAAACGCTCATTTCATTTTTTTTAAAAATTAAATTAAATTCATATTTGTTTCCGAATTTGCATTTTGAATATTTCGAAAGCTATTCAAACGTCCCTTTAAACCCCTTCCGATCTCTTCGAACCTATTTTCCAATTCCCAATCGGATTTAATCACCGAATTCACCACAATCCCCTCGCAAAAATCACTGCAAAACTTCGCCTCACTGCTAAAAAACAAAGATTTAAATTCGTAGGACCGAATTGACGACCAATTTCGGCTATTCCCCGAGGAATAATGTCAGCACCGCGACGCCGAGTTTTCCTATTTGTCGGTAATTTATAAAAAATTGTTGATTCATACTTCACTCAGATGGAAGTTGGTTTGTTACGTTTCGTGAATTAATTTTGGTGCATTGCTGGTTTTTTCGAAGTTATTCGTTGGTAGTCTGTTGGTTCGGAGACGTTCAGGCAGCACTGCTTCGATCTTTGCTCAGATTTTGAGAAATTAGTATGGAAGCACTCGGGTGGTTGGTGGAGGCCCACGTTTAGCGCCTTCGGCGGAAGTTTTCAACCTTGTCAGCCAAGTCAGTCAGAAAGTAAAAAGCCGCGTACTGTTTAACTGTATAATTCGCCTAGGAAAAAGAAACACAAGAAAAATGAATGAACTGATTTTGACAAAAAATTTAGGAACTAATAATCTTTGTTAAAATATCAAAAATGAAATAAAAAATGTATTTTGAAGAAAGAAGATTTTCGAAATAAAAAAGATATTCGTGGTTTATCGCGCTATAATGGGTTATTGAATCGGAATTTGTAACATCGAGAAAAGTATAATTCTTTCTGTTTTAATTATAATAACAATGGCCGTACGGCAGACAAAACACCTGTAAATTATTCGTTTAGTTCTTTTTTTCACTCGCCTACTATAAAATACAAAATCTGTGATTTTGAGGATGGAATTTTTATTTGGGCGTCGTAAAACACCAGCTGAAATGCTGCGACAAAATCAACGTGCACTGAATAAGGCGATGCGTGAACTTGATCGAGAACGAGCGCGTTTGGAGATGCAAGAAAAGAAAATTATCGCTGACATAAAGAAAATGGCTAAAATGAATCAAATGGTTAGTCGAAATTCCACTCCTGTTTTAGTTTTATAGAGAATGGTACTTTCTGGTTATCTGAATCATTATCTGAAACATTAGACTCCGCATTATCATTTTTTCTTTTGTTCTTTTTTGATCTTTGATCTTTTTTTTATTGAGAGAATATAAGAAAATGGCTCCATGTCAGATCATGGATTATTTTAAGAACTTATATACCGAATATTTTTATAATTTAAATTTTTTTATCCAAGAAATTTGAATCGAAGATATATTATTAGAAATATATCAGGGAACCACTTTCACCATAGAAGTACAGGTGAACGACCACCAAAACCTGAATTTTTTAATATATTTATTTCTGTCGAACCTCTGATGCTCGACGCAGATATTCATATATGTTTATCTCTTTTTTACTCGCTGTGGCATGGGCTGATGTGATGAAGTCTGTTGAAGCCACTTTTCCAGTTTAGCAGTCACTGTTTTTCCTAATCACCAGTGGGACTACTTCGGCTTTTACTTTCTACATCTTCTATAGTTCCTCTTCCAACCCTTGATTTTCTCTGATTTCTAATATTTCTTCTTCCTAATGTTCCTTTGTATTGCCGCATCTATCGTCAGTGTTGCTTTCTCGTTCTTGTCTACCATCAAGGTGTCTTGTTAATTGTCCAATGCTTGCATATCTATCCGGATGGGGAAGTCCCACAGGATCTTGTTTTATTATACTGCATAGTTTTCTGTTTCCAATTCAGAATTTCCCGTCTGGTCTTGGTCCTGCATCTTATTTAGTCATATGTGTGTATTGAACAATTTCTGAGGTTTTTTTTGCACAGTGAGCTCCTGCTTTAATAGTCTTAATACCTGCTGTTGTGCTACTATGAGCAATTTATCAGTGAATCTGTCTTTCAGTCGAGCTTTTTCCAATCATCAATAGTATTTCTCAATTTCAACCACCTCACCTATCTTTCGATAGTATATCCCTTGGAAAGCTTCCTTCCTCTACCTTTGCTTAGTCTTGTTGATGCTTCAGATCATTTTCAGCAGCCCATTTTTTGGTGTCTTCTTGTATTCTGAAATATTCTTGAATATTTCGGAAGCTTTGACACTCACCAAATCCCACTCACCTTTTTTCCACATGTTGTACGATCTTTAGGTACTAGATTTGGGTGGAAATTTTCGTACATTGTGAGGAGTTTCCATGTCTTCTCTTTTATCCTTCCACTATACCAGATCCAAATCGGCAAAGAATATGTTTATGACGTGGATTTTCGTACTCACTCTGAAATCTTTTCTCTTTGGTAATTCAATGTTCCTGTCTTCCTTGCTTCTTCTTCGTAGTTTCTGTGGAAAGCACTTGTAGCTAGTCTATATATTTTAGGTGTGTCCACTGGAAGTTTCACTTTAATAAGTTGTAATTATTTCTGTTTTTTTTACTACCATCGGGCCACATTTCTCCAATCCGAATGCCATCTTTTTATGTAATATTTCATTTTTCACATTTTTTATGCAGTTTTTCTAGTAATGTTTTACCCGAGAAGAATGCACTATTTTATTATAAAATTGTATGGTAGATAACTTTCCAGGATTCAGTCAAAGTAATGGCAAAAGATCTTGTTCGGACTCGTCGTTACGTTAAAAAATTCATTATGATGAAAGCCAATATTCAAGCAGTCTCACTCAAAGTATATTATATGATTTTATTTCAGTTATATTGGTTTTATTTAGATTTTGAGTCGTTTTATAGTTATATTTTAGGCGAAAAAAAGATTAAAAATAATTGGACGGAGATTACTGGAACAACATTAATATTTAATGAAAAAATTTAAAGTGGGCATTTTTTAGGCATTTTTCTTTTCACATTGGTCCTTATTGGTTCTTCACATCCCCACTGTTACGAACTTCACTAAGAATTACCTTTATTTAAAGAATTATTTATTCTCCTCTCACGCCAATTGAATGGAATCATTTTAGGTACAAACCTTAAAAAGTCAAGATGCAATGTCGCAAGCGATGAGAGGAGTTACACAAGCTATGAAAAATATGAGCAGACAGATGAATCTACCACAAATCCAAAAAATAATGATGGAATTCGAAAGGCAAACGGAAATAATGGATATGAAAGAGGAAATGATGGGTGAAGCAATCGACGATGCAATTGCTGATGAAGGCGATGAAGAAGAAACTGATGCAGTTGTTTCTCAGGTATTTGATATTTATTTTTATACTGTAGTCTTAATTCAAAACGACATCAGAATGCATAATTACCGCAATGTAACTAATTTTATGGAAATTTTTCATACTTTAGATTGCATAGAACTTGTAAATAAGAAAATTTCCTATCATATGAAAAAACATTACATAAAAAAACCACCGCTGAAATTCTGAAAGCTATATTAGTAAAACTTTAAAAATAATTTCGTGGGGATAAACAATAACAAAATGGAAATATAAATTAAATATAAATCTTTCTATATAATTAATATATGTTCATAGGTACTGGATGAACTAGGAATACAAATGAATGAAGAATTATCAGCCTTGCCGAATGCCCAGTCAGTATTATCGCCTGCAGATGGTAAAAAAGCACAAGCGGCGTTATCAGATGCAGATGCCGATCTCCAAGCCCGACTTGAAAATTTACGAAGGGAATGATTTCATTCGTTTTTTGGTGGTGTTGGCTAATTATCCAAAAATTTTATGTGGAGAAGGAAAAATGAAGCAATGTTCCAGACATTGTTGGTTTGCGTCGGTTATCCAGTTTTATTCAGTACGGTAAAAATATAGTTAGAAAAATATAAAATGCATTCACCACCTGTTTGCATTTCGCAATATCGTTTTTTTTCTGAATTTTTATCATTTATTTATGCTATTATTTACTATATATATTTAACAAAGTTTAAAATTATTAATTTTATTATGTGAGAAATTTTATAAATGAAAACATAAAAGAAGAAAATTAAAGAGGTCCGCTGAATATAAAATTATTTTTTATTTTTGAAATGTTCAAGTAATTTTTTCTGTGCTTCTACAAATGTCTTAGGTAAATCACGACATATAATTGAGATCCGGCGCTTTCTTGGCACGGATTCACCCATGAAAAATGATTCATTCTTGGAGAGAACTTCATGCGTAAACTCATATCTACTAAAATCTCTGAAAAGACGATTCCACTGATGATATTATAGATGATATATTATATTAACGAAGCCTATGATAAAGGTGAAATTCATAAATTTTAGTGAAAAGAAATTAATTATTATTATAATTAATATCATTAAATAATTAAAAATTAATCAATTAAAGTTAATACTTGTAAAAATATAGTAAAAAATTCGATCGAAAAAATTGTCGAAAAAACTCACCCAATTCTGTAGAGACTTCTTCTTTCAATCAATATATCGAGAATCAGTTCATCTTTTCTGTCTTTATGTCTTAAACGCAAAACGGCATCTGATAAGAGGGAAATTCCTGAGATAACATCACCACAATACTGAAAAGAGAGCTATTAAAAAGAGATTTGAGAAGATTTCTGGGCATTTTTTGCTATAAATAGATGGCACGAAACAAGGTTTCGACTGTCCATATAGTATTGAAAAATAAAAATTGTACATTACAAATTTTGTAACAGTCTTTCATATGTTCTTCCTTCCCTTTTTTTTCATCTAACAACATTTATATGCATTTATAGTTTATCCAATTTTGTTTCATGCCCATAGTGCGAGATTCCCAGAGGATCACTGGAGGATTTCAAAGGAATTTCTTGAAGACGTGTTTTTAATACGAATGGATGGGTTTTTCGCGTCTCGGACGCTGAGAATTTTTAAGGCAGGTTTACTCCCACCAAGCAGTAAAAATCGACTCTTTCTTTATATTTCTTATATCTGATGCTTAATTGGTAGAGTGCATTCGTCTATCCTTACCTAAAGAAAAGAAAATGTGTGCAATTAAAGAAAATATAGTATATGGAGAGGAAAAAAGGGAAAAGATCAAAAAATAAGGCAAAGACAAACCCTGATACTGTCGATGTGTGGTTTAATCACACCGTCTTCGTGTAGATCAAGTATATGAATATACGACAAATGTGCCACATCTTTTTCGAAAGATGCCTCGCGAATTCGTTGAATGATTGCTGTGTTGCGTTCCGTCCAGTTTTTTTGTTCCCTTTCGCGATATAAATGAATTGCCTAAAATTTATTTGCCAAAATAAAATTTGCCAAAAATTAAATTGTTTTTAGAAAATGGCTAATAAAATATAAATATTTAAAATAATAAAAAGGAAGAAACAAACACTGAATGCTAAAAAATAAATTGAATAGTGAGCGAGAAAATGAAATCACGGAATTCTCCATTCATCTAAATTTCTATCTAAATTCTATTCAAATCGCATATTTTCTGAACTTTAATCCCGAATCATTTTCATAAATTTTTCTAAGTTCCAATAATTTTTGTTAGATTTTTCTATTAAGAAATAATTTATCAATCGGTCGCTAAAATCTGAAGGAACAAAATTTTTTTCTAAAGAGTCTTCCCATTACTGGTTAAGTTCGCTTCTTGTCGCATTAGGCAATATGTCAGGGAATCCCTTGGCGATAAAAATACAGGAGGATCGCCAGCATCATCTGGATTTTTGGACAGATTTACTCCTGCAGGGAACCGAACCTCAGCGCATTGGCGCTTCTAATTGAGCAAAAACCCACTGAGCCATTTTATTCCCAAACAACCACTCATTTCTTTCACAAGTTCACCTACAAATATGCCATCACCAATTGCTTATCAAGAATTTGTCAAAATAGGTGATCGATCAATCGAATTAAGCGACATATCACAATTGGCGATGAAAATCTACCACTATGTTTAAATTTAAAATCTGAAGATGTTCCAGTTATGAAAACGATTAACGATTAATTTATCAACCCAAACGAGATAAAATGGTTCAGAAAGGGGACATTTCGCTAGATGCAACAAATATACAAAAATTAAGTGATCAATTCAAATTTAACGAAAAAATAGGCAATCAGTCCAATGGAAAATATGCTTGATAAAACGCAAAGTATGGATGCAATCACGTTTGAAGATTCAAAATCATCTGAACAGGATTCAGAAAATGGTAAAAACTGGAGATAAAGAGGAATCTGATTTTAAATTGACAAAGATTTTACGTAGGCACGAGGTACAATCGCTACAATAAATTGGTCAAAAAGAAACAAAATTAAATAAATCTGATTTACAAACATCAAAACTGTTAGAAAAAAATTGTAACATCGGTTCCTAACCGATATTATCATCGACCTTATCGCACGCTTCCCCTTGCAAAACGAGAGGGATTTTTCGCTTCGACGGAATCTCCTACTGCATTGTTGTGTACATTTAAGACAAATATAAGCTTTTTGTTAATTTATGTATTTTTCCAAGCTATTTGGCTTTATTTATTGTCATCATTATCTCAGTTTAATTTTAATTAGGAAATTGTTGTCATCTCTAAATTAAAATTCGCAATATTCCGTCAATTAACAAAACATTCATTAAAAAATTGGCTATTAGCAATCCGGATTCGTGGATCTCGTTTCCTCGTCATTTTTCATCCAGCTATTAAATGAATAACCGCAGAAGTTCCAAATATGTCGAAAGGTGGCAATATTGGACCACGGTCACCTGAACCATTGCTACAGATCGAATATTTGGTGTTAATCAAAAGTACCAACAGAAAATGATGGAAATTTTCGTAGGGCTACTGCAACAGTCAAGAACTAAGTTGCCGGAAAGGCAAACCTGGAATTCTCTTGAATCCATCGCTGGAAGTATCTCGACACTCCACTTTTGTCCAAATTAAAACCTAACATTCAATAAGTGGTTTAGACGCTACTCGGACTTACTTTTAAAATATTCGCCTTCTCCATTGCAAATTGCACGGTTTTGAAAAATATCAATTTTATTCTACTAGAATACCTGGCGTCCACAAGTTACTGTTCAGCAGGAAATATCAAAGTTTGAATCTACGAAAGAAAAAAATAAATAAGTGCTTCACTTTCGAGACAACAGTCAATACTGAATGCGAAAAATTCAACCTCAATATGTTGACAATTGATCAGCTTATTTATTTATAATTTTAGAAGAAGCAAGCACAATGCGCTTGCATTAACAGAAACCGATAACGATAAAACATAAAAAAAAGAAACGCAACGAAAAGCTAACAATATAAAAAGAAATAACACAAATAAAAGTGAATTAAAACAAATCGAATTGAATGTACAACTGGCACACAATCGCATCCTGAAAAATGAAATTTCAAACTTCTTGTTGAATGTGAACCTTTAAAGTAATATCATGGATAATTTAATTTCCTTTTAAAACTAGCTGAGAATAACGAAAACATTATGTCGTTCGACAGCTTATTCCAATAATTAATGGTACGAATGAAAAAACCATGAGCCATATCTATTAATGGTGGGCACCAACTTATTGTGGGAAACGGTATCAAATGTTTCGGCAGAATCTAATAGACGATATTATTTTTTTCATTATTAACTTATGGTGACCAGTTTTTTTTGCGTAATTTCCTTGATAATTTAGGAATTAATTTTTCTAGGTATCTTTCTGAAGATGGCGTTAGTAGATATTTTATTAAATATTTGTTGTGGTGATAGTAGTGCTTTTAGTTTTTATTCTATGAACATACAGACTTCATAGAAGTGCAAATTTTTTTTTTAAATTTAACTTTAAAAAGAATCTCTGTTGGTATTTAAATGTTGCTCTTCTTTATCTGAAAATTATTTGTTAATTATATACGGAGAGTTTATATAGCAATTTGGTCTTTAAATTTTTAAAAGATTTTAAGGAAAGAAGAATAGATCTAACTTTTTGAAAGGAATATATTATTGTATGAAAAATATGAAATATATAAAAATATATAAAGATATGAAATACCGATTCGTTTCTGCAGAAAATTAAATAATAATTTCGTAATTACAACTATGGTAGTTCTTAGTAAATCTAGAAGGTATAATCCTTCAGATTCATTCATTAGTAAATGAAACTGTATTAGGTGTTAAGGTATTAACGTTAATTTAAGTGTTTCATTCGCCGGTAGATACTGTTATCTCAATCAAGCTACTGTTCAAAATGAGTATGAACCACTAAGATTCAAGAGATGATTGAAGAATGCAGTTGACAAATTAACCTATTACACGATGACAAAATGATTGAATCAAAAAGAAATCCATTCGCGTAGACAATCATGAACCCCATGAGCAAATTCTAAATCACCACGAACTCAAACCTTATAACCAAAAAGCTGGAAAGCAGCAAATTACACCAAGAATACCATATTGATTCTGCTACGAATGCATTACTTCTGAAACTTTGGTTATAGAAAACTATTCTTGAATCAAAGAAGGACCTAAAGGGAACAGAAAACTAAATCGAGGAAAAGCCTTGAAAAATCTAATGCAAAAATTAAAATTAACAGACTGAAATCAAAGTTTAAATTGGGTATAGGGTCTGAAATGTTACCTCCTTGTCTAGATAATCTTGGAAAGATGTCGGATCACCAAAATTAAAGAAGCCGTCTGCAAAGAATGCAATACTGAAAAAAATAAGCAGTAATATCTGTTGCAAATCTATCTACAAAAGATTAATAACCCTTATAGATCAAACAATTTTTCTTATTATGCAATGTTGTACGTAAAATAATCCTTAAAAATGACTTTAAGCTATCAGACATCAAACTAAAATTCTTATAAAGACTGTTAAAATCATGCTATCTTCTATTATGAATAATAATTGTATTATAATTTAGCTTTAAGATCTCGATTGTGGCAATCTGCGAATAAGTTAAGCATGAACCAATTCAATAATTATTCTATTCACTGTCAAAATAGAGCTCCTTCTACAACATTTCCTTATATTACCATTAATGGTATTATACTGTATTACTATATCAAATCATTAAAATAAATTGCATTACGATCAAATCTTCGAAGCAATAGGAAAGTAAACTCCATCTCTAAAATTTTCATTTTTATAGAAAGATTGAAAACATTTTTTAAATATTTTCTTTCAATAACATTATTGAAAGCAGAGGAAGAATTCTAAGAATTCAATTCAATATCTAGAATTCAATATCTTCTTAATTTTTTAATTCTAATATCTTTTTAATAAAAGGAGTTATGGATTATGGATATATTGTGATATGAAGGCAATCTTCTCGAAACCTTTTCGAGTTGCCTAAAATCGAAAATCTTAGTCTTTAAATCTTACTAAATTTTTGTCGAACACCGTGTTCCATTTGTGCATCAGTGATATAATATAATCATGTTCTAGATTCGACAACAATTCCCAACTATCTGTTATTCATGTATCGAATACTTCTTTTAATTCTAAAACAAAAATGTTATTAAGATCAAATCCCAAACTCATCTCCAAACTTCGATGACCAACTCCATGATACAATAAATAACTTTGCCACAAAAAGGAGTAGAGCTTAATCGCTTGGATAGGACAGAATTATTTCACAAATTAGCTATTCAGGTGCGACTACCTCTCAAAATGACCTAATAGATACTTAAAATTGAAATGGATGAAGAATCCAGAAAATTTTAATGATAAAAATATATATAAAGGATTATAACCGGCTTTCATTTGGAGCAAAATCCGCTCCTGGGATTTTCTAACAAATTATGGACGAGATGATAACCGACTTATAAAATAAGGTGTACAATGACCATTTTACGAAAAAATATTTTCCTAATTTCAGTTTTCAAATGAAGATATTTGGAATATATCAATGGTAAAAATAGTTAACGATCAAATTCAACGTCAAACACTGTAAGCTTCGTTAGGAATGATAAATTACTATGGAAAATTCGTTAGAAATATGCATGAGTCTCCTTAGACCGTCTACAAAAGAACATAAAATTTCATTGGAACAGTAATTACGAGTACGGTTTCTAAAAAGCGAAAAATATTTTTGCTCAATCTTTTAGCACATTTTAATCCACTGTTCCGCAAAACAGAAGCAACAGAAACCAAAAATTCAAGGATAGGTACTATACAAAAAAAGGCTGCATGGCGTGTTTCAACCTTAACTAAAAAGGAAATTAAACAGAGAAAGAAGCGCTTGCTCTGATTTTTGGTAATGAAGATATTTTATCAATTTATTTATGATACAGAAAAATTCTACAATTCCTGGCGACTTTTGAATCAAAAAAGAGTATTTCATATAGCAGTTCGTCTACAATGGAAAATTATGTTCATCGGATATGATTTTCAAATCGAGAATAAATCAACAACGTTAGGACGCTTTATCAAGGTAAATAAGAAAACAGCACTGACAATGATGACGATATACAACATTTGGATATTAATGTGATTTGTTCATTAAAACAAATAAAAAATACAAACCCATCTGGAAAATCTAACAATTCCTTTGAAATGAATGGAGAACTTTGCAGAAATAATGTCGTTCAAAAATCATAAAAGACAAGTTAATTTATAATCGATAGATGGATGCTTAATGTTCAGAGACAGAATTATACTATCATTTCTTCAACAAAAAATCACCCAAGGTTACCAGCAGTAGCAACAATGAAAAACCTTGTTCGGATTTATGCTTATTGGCCCTTTATCAACAAAAGTATAGATTATGCAAAACTCTGAAAAAATCAACTAGGGCAAAATCTCCCACAAAAGACCAGCTTATGATCCCGCATTATGGCTCTGCTCCTACAAAATAGTGGTCCAGACTTCATATAGATTATAAAGATTATCCAGACTTCATATAGATTATACAGACTGGTCCAGTAAATGTTTTCTCGCGACTGTAAATGCTTTTTCTTGATAGCCAGAGATTCACAAGGTGCAGCAAATAGTTACATTTAGAACGCTCTCTTGAGACAAACTTTTGTGCATTTTGGGATACCTGAAGTTAGCTATAACGGAACAAAATTTAATTCTGAGAATTATGTGAAAAGTACGGTATCAACCATACTAGTACCACAGTTTACCATTAACAATCATATGTTCAATATTTCATTGATACATTCAAAAACGCACTTAACAAAATAAATGGAGAAGGATCAATACGAAAAAATTTAGAGAACTTCCTCCTGCATTATAGAATTTAGAATAAATTCCAGTCCTCCTAAATTATATCATACCATCAGAAAAATGGGAACGAAAAACAAACTTCATTTTCCACCCACCATCTAGCAAAAGGACTCTCAAATGAAAAGTCAATATAACTGACATCATGGATTTATTTGTCGTTCTTTTGTACCAGGCCAATTTTTTTACACAAAATACTATTAGCGATAAATAAGAAAACCAGGAAAAATTAAGCATGGACAAAGTTGAAATTGGCATCAGACACAACAACCACAACTGAACAGCCATCTGTGAGGATATATAGAACATTCTTTTGTAGATTTTTTTTCGGCAAATGAGATGCTTCAACCGGAAAAGCGATATGAATTAAGCAGTCGATTAAATAAATTAAGCATCTGGTCTCCGAAAACCAGCAAGAATATGAAGACCATTGCTCCAAATTTGAAGCCACAAAATCGTCGATATGAGATTTCCTTTTGAAACACTCTTATTATTTTTTTTTGTGGGGAGATGTAGTAGCTAATCAACACTGTCATTTTTCTTTTAAAATAGAGAGATAATTTCTCTTCGCTTCGGAACTATCTAACAAGAAAATTCCCCTCCTACCCTCCTGTGGGTAGTATAGATCACTCTCAAACTCCATTTCTCTACTTGAGGCCTTGGGGACTGAGGTAAGGGAGATAGCTTTCAGACGATCTCTCCACGCCATCCCGGCTAATCCGTCTTTTGCTTGTAGTTATTCTACTCAGTTCCGAGTTTTTTCACTCGCTGCCACTTGTATTTTAACTTGTCAAGTCTGAAGTAAAAGCTCACCACCGATCGTTGTATCACCCACCTCGCCCGACATGATGAACATTAAAATAAAAGGCAAACGAACATCATCCCAGTGTGATTTCTCGTATCTGAGACGTTTCATGTGTGGTTCAATTTCTTCGAGCAGAGAATTCTCCTCATCAGTCGTTATAAAACTATTTCGCACTGAACACGATTTTAATAATAATTCTTTGGTATTTTTTGGCCATAAAGATTCATTATGAACGTAAATCAACTGTTTGCAAATATTTAATGACCGCGTAAAATACATTCCATTGAAAAAAATTATTAAATCTGAAAAAGAAAAAATATATGGAAAAATTCACATTTCCCTAATTTTTTTTTAAAGATTCCTCAGCATAACTGGTTAAACTCGCTCCGCTGGTTTGTAGCATTGGACAAATACACCAGAGAGTCCTTTGGCGATAGAAATACAGGTGAACTGCCAGCATCACCAGGATTTTTCTGCTTTACTCCTGCGGGGAATCAAACCTCAGCGTTCCCAATTCAGCAATAACCCACTGAGCCATTCTATCCCCACATTTCCCTAATTAAGAGAAACCATCAGTCCACGTTAAATTAACCTTCCATTACTTCGACCAATCACAAAAGTTTTCTAAGCTGATAAAATTTCCGATAAAATTTTTGATAAAGCAATGTCAAAAATTTAAAAATACTCAATCAAGCTGCCAATTAGACTTCCTAAAAAGCAGCTTTATCAACGGTTTTCCGTTAAATACATGCACCGCAGATGGAATGAATCATCAGTTTGATAAAGTGGTTGTTTCAAGGGGTCGTTTGCAAATGAAAATACAAATACCACTCGGGCTGTGAATTTTGAGAGTTTTGAAGAAAGGGTCACTTATAAATAAATGGTTAATGTAAGTTATCGGCTATCGGGTTGAGAGTCGGGGCGAAATGGCTGGATGGATATCTCTTCAGGACTCCGATTGTGGACTTCTATTCCAGCCGGAAACAAAATTATCCTTCGAAAACCCGGGCGGCGCTGACCACTCACCCGCACTTCCACAAGTTTCCCTGGTAAACATCTCCAGCCGTAGTCCAACCGGAAACTGTGCACCCCAACTGCACCCTTTATCATCTGTATCATCTGTACAGTATTTTTATGCAGCATAAAATGCAAATGCAAAACCAACCAACAGCAATCAACTTTTCTTAAATGCAAATAGAAGGATGGAAGTTCATTGTGGAGACAAGAAGCCGCCAGCACCAACCAGCCCATTGTCATGTTCACTGTTGCACCAAGAAAAGCACAGTTTATCTTATCGCAATTTGTACAATAAGGATTGAATTTAAGTAATTTTAAAAAATAAATATTCGTATTCTTTTGCGTCATCAGCATCAATAAGAAAAAATCACGCAGAGGAACTGCAACAAACTCGTATTATTTTTTACCTTTTTTTAAGGCATTGTTCATGCCTAACAAAACTGATAAGAATTGATAACATTCTTCTGAGAAGATTTCCTAATTATTCGTAGATGGATAATCTCCTCTAAAAAGCGGTTGTTGCCATTTTCCATTCAATCCTAATTAAAATTTTAGTTTCAATTTAATATTTACATGATATCGCAGGAAAAGTGGGTAAAGCATTAAATCAAAGTTCGTAAGCGCGAACAAGTTCACAGCACGTGAGAAATTCGTAAAAAACTATTCACTACTGCGACAAATTCTCAGTTATATTTTTATAAAAATCTAAAATAGAACTAATACAAATGAAAAAAGTTCTTATAATACCAAAGTCCTTCATGTAAACTAAATAATGTACATTTAAAAAATGCAAATTTTACAAAGCATATATTATATACATTCGATAGATGATCAGACTTATGAATAGTATTTTGCCAGCCAATGCAATCTAGGCGGTTGTCCCAAGTACCACAATTCCTTTCTTCATGCAGCAAGCAAATATTCACCGTCATTGGAGGCAATAATTACAGACACTTCATATAGATAGATGAGTACCGTGGAATTTATAAGAATTGCAGTTATTGTTCATAAATTCATAAATTCTTAATTTATGGTATTTATAGAACAACAAAAATTCCCAGCAAAAAATATAGGTGAATTATTCATTGAAGAGTCCACTCATTTCATTCAACGACTTTTCGAGATCTGATCGAAATTTATATGAACTCTGAAAAAAAGACGGATAAAAAATGCAAATGCTAAGTGCAAATAATATAGAGCGTGGCCTTTGCTGGTTAGGTCGTCAAAAGCGAGGTAGCCAATCAAGACCTGGACTAACATGATCAGAAAAGATTTTGAACCAGCAAATATATGGACTTAAAACGATGGAAAAAGGAATGACTTCTATTATCGTCAGCGATGGCGCTGGACCGAGAGCTTGTAGCCGGCGGAGCTAGCCGAAATGTTTTTTCAAACCGTTTGTAAATTTAATTTAAATAAAAATTTTGAAAAATACGATACGAACGGTGTTGTCGGCTGATTTTTTCGATGATATATGAAAAGCAATGTGGTCTTCACCAACGATTATGTAAGAAACACCATAGCCGTTATCAGCAACAGGACCAAAACCGCCACCTGCGGTGAAAATTTTCATTTTCTGAGCTTCGGTTAATATCGCCGCTTCTTCTTTACACTGATTTATTGGGGTTTGACTAGTTGAGAGAAGATAAGTTGGAGGAAATATTTTATCTAAGAATGGCGATTCTTCTTCCAAATAGCGTTTCACTATGTAACTGAAACAAATTCGTTAAATACTTGGTTATTTAGTTTATCATTAGCCTAATTCAAATAGCTCCACATGTTAAATTATCAACTTTTCTGAAATTTGCCATAGGTTAAGGCCAAAAAGTTACAGCGCGAAGAGATGACGATCGATGCCCTTTCCACACATTGCATCACGGACGGCATTCTGATGATGATTGCAAGCGATTCGAAGCAGTTGAGCTCGTTCCTTCCTCTAAAAATCCAAAAAACAATATAATTACCATTTTTCATCAATTTCTAATTTCCATGACTATAATCTATATGAACTACTCTTCAAAAGTTCGAGGATGCAACGTACTGTTCGTTCAGGGTCCATCATCGATCGAACGAATTCGCAACTTTCCTTCGTACACGACCTTATAGTTTCAGTACGACCCTCACGATATAATCGAGTTGTTGATGCTTCATAAGTCAGCGCGAAATGGCCTTGATTCTGAAACAAGTTTTTAATAGTTCTCGAGGTTTCGTCGAACAATCTTGAATTTTTCTGCCAACATACGAGATTTACTGGTTTATACATTTTATCGATAATTGAAAACTTACGCGGAAATAAGTTAGCTGCAGAGTCATTTGTATGAATGCATCAGGTGAAACCTTGAAATTCTTTATTAAGCCTTTACCGAATTTAGTCCAAATAAGCAACGCCATTTCAACGTCATTAATTAGCGTTCGAGCCAAACTTAAGCTCGAATTTATCACGGTCTGAAGTTAATTAAATAAAAATAAGTAAATAGGTTGTTGTTTATATGAAATGAAGATTTTATGGAAAATTACTTGTGCCCAGACACATTTAGCTAAAAAATCATAAAAATTTACGTGAATTTCATTCTGCAAATTCCAACGAAGTCGCTCAGGCTTAGGTATTTGAACCACACCACCCAAAGCGTTTCCATCTTTATCGTATCCTTGATGAAACAAATCCACTAAAAGGCTGTATTCCAAGAAATGAGCGGCGATCGGAGCATCTCCCCTTCAAAAAAAAAAATTTCGATTGGCCAAGAAAGCTTAAAAATTGGAAAATTAATTCAACAAAGAATACGCATCTTCACAAAAAGTTGATAAATAAAAACAAGAAGCTACCAAGAATGTTCAACGTTCATGCCCATCCGTGCATTTTTAAAGACTATAATATTAAGCGATTTATCGAACCATCGATTAGTTCCTGAACCGTGCAATAAATGCCGAGCCCAGCTATCCAGTTTGGAAGAATCTTTCTAAAAGATATATCCAAGCTACAAAATATTATGCATAAATATAATATAATATATATAATATTATAAAGGTTTACTGCAAAACATTTTGTGTGCTGATAAAATTCGCATAAATTCGCCGCAAAAACGGATTACAGTGTTATTTAAAGTAATCATAAGGAAACTAACCGGATCGTAGAAAACTTCATTGTCATCAAGAATAACAACAAAGGCAGCACTTTCGATAAGATGCAACGATTTCTTATTGACGCCGAACGAGAAATATTTTTTACGTACTTCAGCCCACGCTTTACGGTCGCCAGCAGTTAATGCAGCAATATTTTCCTCACCATGCTCAGGCACAAAATCGTCATCCAGAATTGCTTGAAAGCCTTGCTGCAATTCTGCGGCTTCATATAACCTGGAATTTGGGATTTTTTATGAAAGATTGGAAACTCCAAGTTCCAAACATGATCAATGTTCTATCATCTTGCGGATTTTTAGCATCTGCAGCTATCTTGCTCTCTACAAACAATAGACTCTTTTTTCAAGTGCAATTTTCTGAATGCTACCTTTTTCCGTTATGGATTGCAAGTCGAAACCAACAACCGCGGCAATAGACAACAATGTGTTTTGAATCGTTACGATGAAGGAATTGATCTATTTCTTCGCCAGGGACGCGACAACTGTTGAACAAACGCTCATACTGCATCACACAAAATGGTACATTAAAACGTGGTGCAACGGAGAACTTTAATAAAATAAAATAAAATTTAATAAAAAACATTTTTTGAAATGTTCTTCTAAAAAATTTTCAAAAAATAATCCATAGAAATTCACCGTTTCACACCACCGTTCCTGGCTAAATTCTGTTGGCTTAGAGGACCGAACAAATTTTGCCAAGGATCTATCCGGTGGTAGGGGTCACTCCACTCCTACCGATTTTGGACAGATTTGATTTGTTTCGGCACAGCGAAATGAGAGCGAAAATCCCTTGAGCTACTCCACTCTTTTTGTAAATTAATGGTTTGAAAAATCAAAAATTTGCATTTCAAAAATTTTCAGCTAAAACCTTCACTGAGTCTAGTTTCGTCATAAAACTTTTGTTATTTACCGGAGAAACTTCCTGGCGTTCGACTTTTCGACGAAATAATAAAGCGGCATTGGTTAAATTTGCTGCTCGTGCTGCCTGGTTAGTTGTTACTATATGATTGATTGTGTCGAAGCCGTAGTAATTGCTATTGATCATTAGTGGTGAACGTTGTCGCAAATAAACGAATTCCTCCCACCAGTCGGTAACATAATTTATCGATAAATGTGATTTGATATAGAGATAACGTTGTAGTCGACTGCCGAGCCCGCGTCGAAATTTTTCGCTAAGTTCCACAAGTTCACCGTATTCCTCGTCTGTACTTAAAGGGCGCATTGATTCTAAGTGCTAAAAAATTAGTCCCATAACAGTTCATAGATTAATAAAGCAAAAGGACAATTGCACTTAAGTATCGAAAGAAAGCTTCCACTCGGAGCTCTTTGAACTTTAAACATACCTTCTTCAAGGTATCGTCGAGACTTGGCAGAGGTAATCTCGGCAGCGCTCCTTGAAATGAATGCAACATCGGCTTACTTTTTGCGATAAGACATAGAATTTTCTGAAATCCAACTTTACGGTTTACAGGTTGCAGCAAAGTTTGATGAAGTTAAAGACGATTCAAATATTGCATCATGGAGTTATTATTTAGGCGAAAAATTTAAATTTTGATCTCCACGTTAGAATAACAGCAGAGAAATCGACTGAGCAACGCAATCTTATGTTTAGATTATTTAAAATCTGAGAAAATCTATTCTTATCACTATTTACGAAACATTTCTTCGACCCATTTCTGATTATAGTACAGTTAAGTCTACTGAAATACTTTTAAAAAGATTAAATACTAGCGGCCAAAGCATCTGCGAAACCGCTCATTTATTCAGTATGCGGAAGAAAGGTTAAACTTACAGTAGGACTTAGAATTTATTTACAAAATTCTATAAGGCCATATTAAAACAATACAATTATAAATTTTTCAATGTGTCTCAGCATTAATATAACCAAACTCGATGGATTAAAACCATTAAAGCCTATTCGCAGCTCATTTCGGACGTTATAATTTGCTTGTGGACACAATTCTTCCTTACTGGAATAAACTTACTACAAACTATATACTCACTCAGTAAACAATTTTAAAAGCTGTTAAATGTTCAAATTTCCTTTAACCTCGGATATTATTAAACTTGTTACCAAAAATTGTAAGCTATATAACTTTAATTTTGTTTTCTTCCTTGAACGAGATTATGGAATGTGCTAGGACCATACTTTTAAGTAATCTATTCCAATAATTAATCAGTTGTGTCTCAGCTTATTAGTTTTACAGGAAGGCTTAATTCCAATATTTCCAGTTATTTTTCTAATATTTCTTGAAATTTAAGCTGAAATCGTAAATACAGTTAATCTACTTAAACTTGTCAGAAGAAATCGAAATTCGCATCAACGATGGGGAAACTAATTTTTTAAAATCACTGAATCATTTTATTTGTTATATTGTTGCTACGGGTTCTCGTCCCTACGAGAGCATAATAAACCTAGCAGTCATCAGAATATATAGCAGAATTCGATAAAACATTGGTAATATCGAGAGCTTTAGCACTTTTTATGATCTGATGAATATTGCCTGGTCCTACCCATGATCGAGATATCAAATATTTATACGCCTTTATTTTGTACTGTTTTTTATTTTATAAGTCATCCAACCACATGGCTGCCTGCTCGGCATGGTCCATGTTTATATAAAAGGCGATTTTTGGCAACCTTTACTAAACGACACAAAAACGAAAGTCATTGAGATCAGGAAGTCAAGATCTTTTTAAATCCATGTTATCAAAAAGATTCACAAAAATTCTTTACAATTGCATTGATTATGGTTATCGGTGAAAAAGAAATCATTTCAGGTTATCTATTAAATATCATTTTCAGATTACCTGTTTCAGTATACAATAAAAAATATTTAATTTACCATCCAAAGAATCGTACTCCTTGAAATTGAGCCCATTTCTTCGTACATCCATCCTTTATAAGAAAGGAGTGATTTCAGGCACAGACGAAGTGTTTGGATCGCAGTGAACCAAATCAGTGAACCGCAAGTGATAAGCGCTAATATTTGCGAAAAGTATCCATCGCTAAAAGATAATCATTTAGAAGCGAGTCAAACCATATTTTTGTTTCAGGTAAAAGTGGATTGACTGTAGCAAAAAAAGTCTGCAAATGGAATCAAATAAATTTTTCACTTATTTGCAGAAATTTCATAACTAATTGAGCGACGGTGAATGGAAATTTCATAGAAAATATTTCAATATATAATATATAAGTTCACTGGAAATCATATTTGCATGCTGCTTTCCATCTATTTACGCCTTTCAAATTGTCGAATTTCCTAGCGCAAATTAAAAATTACAGAAAAAATAAAACCAAACCCGAATAGGAATCCAAAAATATAATGGCGAACAAATGGAACGATTCCAAAAGATAAATCGCGGTGAAAAACAGAGAAAAATGTCAATGCGAAAACGACCAAACAAAACGTCGTCGCATTTACCGGAAAGATTCCAGCCAAGAAATCGTTCTAAAATTCAATATTTCCAACTTTTAAGAACTTTAAATGCTATTGAATTGCTTTCATTTTTAATGGAAATTTCATAAAATCCATATAAATAGAGTCATTGCAATCGCTTTAAAGGTATTTTTATGTATCGAGAGTAACACACTCAGACTTTAAACTTTAAACTATCTAACCGAATTATTAAAAAACGATATTGGAACTAAAATTGAGAGAATCAAAAAAACCATTAATTTTAAATAAATGGTTAGGGCAAAGGAAAAAAAAATTTAATGCTGATTTGAGTGCAATATCATTTGCTTTAAAAATTATTTTATACGATCTAATTATTTGATAGTGGTTATAATCATATCAGATAAGTATGCAAAACCGTGCATGATGTACCGCTTTGATAAAGCCCGAGCCAGCACAAGTATCACAGAATAGTTTTCTCCGTTGACGGCAGTGGACCAGTCATTAGAAGTGGAACTCAAAAGACGCCGGAGGGCATATCTATTCTTTCCTACGATTATGTGATTACGATACTATTCTGCGATTAATTTTTCATGTTTGTATTCGTGAAGCACTGTCATTAGTTAGCGAAGCTAATCGAATTAGAAATATTGAGCAATTTAGAAAGAGAATAAATACAAGAGAATAAATAAATACAATCTTACACCACGGCATCAGATAAATCAGATTTAACGAGTTTCAAGGAATATTCGTTTCTACCCATTGGCGCATTTTCTTTTATTACCCACTACGCCAAACAACTGCGATGGTTACATACCTTGAAACGTGCAATGCGACGTTTGTATGCTCGTGAAAATGCATGCCAAATATCACGCATAAGTTCCTGATCATAGGAAACCGACACGCCGTCGTGCGTAATGGTAAACGAGAGTGCGGCCACACTATGTGCTTCAGCCATGTTTGTTAACTGCAAAATGATTAAATCGTTAGAAACTTTTGGTTCTTTCCTTTTGTTACATTGTTATAGGAAAGACGAATTAGGCCTAAGCCAAGTGAGACAGGGTAAGGCCCAGTCGAGCCGTCCTGCCTACTTAGCCTTATGCTCGTGAAAAAGGATGCCGATTCAATTTCACTTACTTTTAGATGGTAATGGATATGACTCAACTAAAAGCCAATCGCTGGGGACATGAAAATAAAAATGAGGTAATTGCTCTTCACGCGCGGATAGGACACTTGCACGAAAATTCCAATCGCCACACTGAACCAAGCGAGTGGGCACAAATTGGCGTAAAACATGACGGTTTTGCCATCAACCGATTCAATTTTGATTAAACCCAGATTTTTTATCAGTAAAATCAGATGAGATTTTTATTTTCAAAATGAATAAATGCAATAATCATAAAAACACCGAACTTCACCTTATAGCCAAAACGATAAGAATTTTTCTAAAGAGGGGCTGTGAATGAATATACCGTAGGAATGCAATAGCGAAGAATAACAACAAAAAAAGATATTACGTCGTGATAAGATCAATGTGCAAAGTCCAATGTGCATAGTACACCATTTTAACATTGTTCCCATCTCTGACCTATTTTAAAAAATAGTTTGCTTGGTTGACCTCTGACACCGAACTCTTTCCGCAGGACGATCATCGGCGATCAATACGCAGACAAGTAGCGTTTTGATTTAAGATTCGCCTAAGAACCTTTCCGGAGCGGAGGAGTCGGCCGGTCAATTCATTCTTTTATAAAGTATTTTCACTCTATTAAATTCGGCGAGCCATTCACGGTTCCGCACAAATAACGCCGACGCGCGCATAACTTCTCTGGATTTTCGAACTTTAAGAAAAATTCCGCCCCATTCCACCTAATTAAACTAAAATAAGTAATAAACAAATTATACTAGGAAGGAAATTCGTAGCACTCAGTTATAAAAATTAATTTAAAAATTAGCTCTTTTCAGCTATTTATATTTGCTATCTCTTAACGAATATTTGATTTTTGATCACTGATTTCGTTCTCATAGTAAACTTTAGATGACGATGCGTAGTAAATTTTTTTCGGTTTTTAATCGTTTCATTCACAAATTGCATTCAAGTTCACTGATCGCTGAATAAACATGTACACGTGACCCCACCCAACCGAGCAAAAACAATGAAAACGTCGTCGGAGACGTAAGACCGCAATAATATTTATGTGTTAATTCGGCGATTCTTCGTGGCATGATTTCAGAACCACGCGTGACAGTCTTCGAGCATTCATTGATAAAATGTTTCGTAAATTATTTCTCTACACGAAAGAAGCTCTTTGACTTTGATTTCAGAGGTGAATCACGAAAATTCTTTAATTCTCTTTTTAAAAATATTTATTTTTTGGAACAAACAACGATTTTAAACATTATTACAAAATAGTTTTATTTAAATTGCTGTATCCAATACCAACACAAGTCAAGAAAGCTTTTTCATCAGAACCTGAGCTTTTCTTTTGCTCCTTCTTCAGCATCCACCAATCATCAATTTTAAAAATTATGCCAAAAAAATGCTTTAGATGTCGTAAACAATGAATGCTGCAAAAGAATTCGTGATTTAAACTAAATATGATGAAACTTTTACATTATACCATATATGATCTAAATTAAATTAATGAATTAATTTACTTCAATTAATGACTTGAAAATATTGTAACATAGTCCACAGATTTAGAAAATATATCTGAATATCTATTTAATCTTCTATATAATCTTCTATAATCTTTTATATTTTTAAAAGGAAGTAACAATTTAGAAAAAACGATATTCTTTAAATTAAAACTGGAGAATATAGGAAAAACGAAAAAAAAGAAACCATTATAATAATAATCAAAAATAAATGCATTCCGGACAAAAATATTGTACAAAAGAAAAAAAATCATACCAATAATTCGATAGTGGTCCAAAAAGGAATTTACTAACATCCTTATCGACGAGTGCCATAAATGTTGAGGCAAGTGCTTGGCTAGTGCTGTCAAGACAACCTCCCTAGAATGAAAAATATAAAACAGATACCGTATTTTTTTCTTTTTCTTTTCTTTTAAGGACACTTATCATTGCTGGTTAAACTTTGTTAACTTATAGGAGTAGATAAATATGCTAGGAAGTCACTGGCGAACTGAACAATCACCAATTTAGTTATTCTAATCTCATTTGCGTTCTCCGTTAATTGAACTGTCCTTTGTAGTACGAAGGGTAGTGCGTCGGTAAGATCCGAACGCAAATCTCAATTCTTTGTGGCAATTACGTTGCCACTGATCAACCAATATACTTATATCCATACAATAAAAACAAATCTTGAAACTTTTGAAGATTACAAATGATAAGTTTATTGATTGCCGTACAAAAATAATAACAAATATATCATTTGTTTCATAATATTTACCATTAAAAAAATAAAATACTAAAATACTAAAAAAGATAAATAAAAAATAAATAAAAATAAATAAAAGTCTGTAAATTTAAAAATAAAAAGAGAAATTTAAGGAAAATATCAAATAAAACGTTAAAGCAAATCTATAAATTAATTGAAAACTGAACTGAATAAATTTCGTTAAGAAGATTATTGGCAGCAAGTGTTCCTATATCTTCAGGGATGATGGGTTCACCAGATTCACCCTTCGGTTTCGATGCCGCTTCACCATGAAATACTACACCTTCAGTTGTCTCAGCAGTAATTATTATACCATAACCAGGAGAACTAAATTTAAAAAAATTCAATATTCATTATTATTTAACAGTAGAATATTTTATAAAGTTAAATTTGACGAAATTTAAAATATGAACCGGAAAAACAAGAAGACAAGAATGGAAAAAATGGAAAATGTATGAAAAAGATTGAAAATATGAAAGGACAAATTTCACTTTCCACCATTCGTTCCCTTTCTCTGATCCAAGGTTATATATACATCAGCAATAAAACCATATAGTGCCCTTTTTGCCGATTCAATCATTCGATGAGCTAATGATGGTGATACTTTGCAAACATAAGCTATACCACGGATTTTGCAAATTTTACCCATCTTTTCACACTATAAAAAATTTAAATATATATCTAGATATTTTAAGTTCAAATTTAGCACAAAAAATTAAAAAATCAAAAAATTAAAAAATTAAAAAAAGAAGAAAAAGTGAAAAAATGAAAACCAAAAGAATCATACTGAACCAACCTGCACTGGTCGAAGAACCCTGACAATAGGTGCTGTAAAAATAATAGTTCCACCACCATCTGGTTTTAATCCACGAGAGATTATCTGGAAAATTTTCTCTAATTTGAGTAAATGATTCTGCAATATTACATAAGCAAAGTAAAATTCAAATGGTATTCTACGCAAATAAATTCTATATTGATATTCACTTTTCTACAACTAGATAGATAAATAATAACCTTTATATCGAGTTGCTCATCAGTGGGCACAAATTTCCGAAAAACAGGTAACCAGCTTGCCCGGATAGTATCGACACTTAATTCGTCAGGTGTATTAGTTACTCCATTCAACTGGATTCTTAACGGATGTTTACAAAATGGAGCAATCATTAAAAGTGGTTCCAAATAGTAACTAAAAAACATAGATAAATATAGATCTTCGAAACCTTTAAATTTAAGTTTAAAATATTAATATCAAGGTACATTATATAAGATATAACAAAATTTTCGCAGTTTTCCCAGCTGTCGTTTTTACCGCTCTGCTAATTTTTCTTAAGCTATTTCTGGGACATCGAAATTTTCTACAACAGTTAAGCTATGTTCTTCTAATTTTTTTTAAAAATTTTAAAACAAAGAATTAAAATAAATTATAAATTAAATTTAAAAAATTTCTCTTTTTCTCTTATTTAAATTTTTTTCTTTTTTATTTCGATTTTATTTTCCATCCTTCCTAAATTTTTCTTCTCTTTTTCTTATATCGTTGGCGAGAATAAACTGATCAAAATAACAAAAATCCGAGTATCTGCTGTGTAGCTATATCTCCAAGTGATTCTGTGGTGAAAGCGCCATATTTTTTTGATAGTGCCCGCGCCCTCCGATGTGCATGATACTCTCAGCCCGGTAATACAATACGAGCTTAGACAAACAAATTCAAGGCTTGAGAATATGATATGCCGAGCCAGGATAATTGGCGAATACTGCATTGGGGTCTGATGTTATATTCAACGGAAAACGCCTTTTTTACTTTGGCGAATTACATAAATTACAATTACATGTACATACTTCTGGTATCGATATAGATATCTAATCACGCTGAACTCCTTGGATAGCCGATATTCCAATCAGATTGATTATGTTAGGTCAGTCGCTGTTGGAAGAGTTCCGTACTAGTCCTTCCTATTATGGCAAAACTGGTAACTTTCATGGATCATATTATGGTTCGATCGAAGACTCACATAAAACTTATAACTCGAAGAAACACGTTTTCCAAGACCTTCAACAATCAATCTGAGTAAAAGATTCGACAATAAGTGCATTTCAAACCGAATTATTGAAGCATTTCAATGATATAAATATCAACGACATTAAGTGCTGGATTGGCAGATGAATACTGGTCCCAACTAAGGACATGTCTCCAAAAGTCAGTCACTTCCATGCTAGAATGCATAATAGCAAATGTAGTTAAGTATTCGAAAAGGCTGCCACAGCATGAATGTCAAAAGATCTTGATTACCTGATGCTTCTTGATTACCTGAAGAATTGCAACGACAATAGCTCTCAGGGAAATCAACATTGGAGTGATATGGCCTTGGAAATGGAGACGGCGGCTCGATTAGGCGACAATAGGAAATAATTCCGTCATATTCAAAACAGCTATAATTCGAGAATAATGAGATAGTACGGTATAGCAATTGTCTGCCAGGTAAGAATATTAAGGATCGCCTCATAAGAAAATTCTTAAGGCCAAACTTAACCAGATGCGCCATCTGTTATCCCGGATATAGCTGATTAGCTCATCGAGCCACATAACTGTGTTTGCAATTGCGAAATGCTAAGATGAGGGGAAGTAATCTCTATTATCCAGAAGTTTAAGGCCAATAAAACTTACTTTCCGAAATGGTCTTCCGGCTGAATTCTTCAAATATCATACTTTCAACAAATGTATTCCCTAGTATGGAAAAAAGAAATAATACAAGAAGACTGAAACAAAATAATTCTGCTCCTAACAAATCCTAAGAAAGGTGACAGGATATACCATCTAATCGAAGAATAATCTATTAGACATTTCCGGGAAAATTTTTGCATCCTCTAGCTGAATAGACTTATAAGATAGCAAGATGCGCCTCAACAAAGCTGGATTCAGACCAGGTTGCGAACTAGATATCCACATCAAGAAGGGTCATGTTGGAACATCACTTCAAATATCAGTAATCCAGTTGTTTCATCGATTTTGCAACTTCGATTCAATTGATAATACTCTGGAGGGTGATGGAATGTTCCAGAGAAAATTATTCAGTTCATAAAAGCATTTTGTTAGTGTATATCGGCACAGAGTGTATATGGGGAATTGACTCTTTCGAAATAAAAACTGGTGTTCGCTGTCATTTTTCTTACAATATTCAATAGACAAACTTAATAATGGACATCGTTGTAGACAATCAAGAGATGCAAAAAGAGAAGTCCACAGCACCGCATCACAGACTCTGAATACGGTGATTGGTTGATAGTTATGACGAAATGAAAATAATGCTAAATAATGTATCGACAAATGCAGCGAGAATAGGATCAATATTAATAAAATGAAAGCCTTTTGGTCTTATTTGCAATAAGCATAATAAAATACTTATTTTTATCAATTCTTACCAGTTGAAGAAATACCAGAGTTTAAATATCTCGGATCCACTCTAATCCAAAAGGCCAAGAAGAAAGAAGAAATTACAACTGGCTAACATTAGCTAGAAATGTCAATTCTCACGATTGGCGAGAGCTTTATACAGCCATCACGAAATCACCATTAAAACTCTATGAAAGCCTGCACCTATACAGCTGCAATTCGCTCGATCTTGTTATATGACTGTGAGATATACCCAAGAGGATATTAAGAAATTATCTATCTTTGACCACATGTACATTTTACATCTAAGATACATTTTACGAGTTCGTCGAATGGATAAAATTTTATATGTTCATTCACCTTCACTCAAATGCTACCAATATTAACAGCACCACAATAAAGAATCGTCTTCGCTGGTTAGAATACATTCTTTGTCCACCATAGCAGTTGGCACATACTGCACTTTGAGGTTACTTGCCAAACTCTCTGTAATGAACAGCATCAAAAGTGAGGAAAGTCAATGGAGACCTGGACTGATACAGTTGAGAATTAAGAAAGATTTTGAATGCATATACATTTATATTTACATTTATATATTTGGATGGACTAGCGATAGACTTAGACGATAAAAAAAGGAATGCTTTTATTACTGACGACGACGGCGTCGAACCGGACGGCTCAGAAACATCTTAACCTTGCAGCCAGCGCAGCCAGCTTAACCAGTAATGTCAGAAGAAGAAAAATATCGAGATATATGCTAGAAAACTCTGCATAAATTACCAACTAATCACTGACAGAACCAAACAATAGGAAAAAAAGCAGAATGCTGAATGAACACATGCAATAAAGTTTACCTTAAGCATCTGCTGTTGCAACAATCCAATGAAACTGAACCACCAATGATAACACCAGGTATGAAAGAAATCTGCGTTCCTAGAAATCGAGAAATCTTAACAGCTAATAAATATATTTCGCTTCTTTAATTGTTTCTTTTCGATTCAGAACCACGAATGTTAAATGAAAAAATTCTAAAATACGAAGACCAAAAATTTAGAATAAGTTTATTTTAGTTCAACTGGAAGCGAACGATATTGATTTGATTAATGATAAGTAATTAATAGTTAAAAAAGGATAAAAATACTTTAATCGAATGATAAAAAGCAAAAAGGTGCTTGAAAGTCATTGCTTATCGTTAGCTCAAAAAATTTGCTCAACCTTTACTTTGCTTTTATCATTATTAAAAAATATTACAATATTCCAATATGTTCAATATTTAATCTCAATGTTGTCTTATAAAATCGGATTTAACTAGGATATTATTAAAGTGACTAATAACAGAAAAGAAAGAAGTTCAATTCACCCGTTTTACTAATCTCTAATCGAGTACCATTCGTAATATTCTCCAATAACGACAGAAAATTCAATTCAAAACCTGGAAATTAGAAATAAATTTTTGCAAACCAGAAATTAAATTAATATGATTTTTTTTTTGAAAATTTCATGGTAAAAATAAACCCAACAAGATGTTTAACTAATCATTCTTTCTATTTACTTAGCAACTGGTGTTCCGAGCGCCTCGGTAATTCTCACTTCTCGCTGAGGGAAAATAATAAAGCCATGGGAGAGAAGGTGGAAGAAGAAGATTAAAACGTGGGATTCTCGAAGTAAAATAACTGTAATTATTGTAAGAATAAAAGAAGAAGTATAACGAAAAGAAGAAAAGCAGAACCAATTATTACCGAGAAGGAAGGCAAAATTAAAACGACGCGCACCGGTGGTGCTTTATTTAGGCACCTTCAGCCAATAAGAACCGCCGGTCGGTCCAAACTGCACTAAGTTAGATCGGAGCTTCGATTTCAAAGGCAGAAACAAATTTTCTTCTGCTAATGAAATTCAGTTTTACGCCTCCGAAGCGGCAGAAATCGAAGCGATAGCACATGAACGACTTTCTCCCAATCAACGCGACCATTCTAGTTAAGCTAAGAAGAAAAGAAAAGAAAAACTCTTTAATCCAGGCTCATCGCTATTTGCGCGGATTTTCATAATTCTGATTGGTCGTCCACTTAGCACTGAATAAACCAACCGAAGTCGAAAAAAATTACAGCCTTCGTAATTTAATTCTTCTTTTATCTCCATAATTTAGCTATAAATAAAATAAAGTAAAACTCGAATCCTCGAAATCCGCAAGTTGATTGATATAAACCGCGGAAAACGAATTACGCGACCTCGTATAACCGCACGAAACAATAATGCAAGAATAAATTTAAAAATCAAAGTCCGAAAAATAGCATCAATCCAAGGTCCGAACTTTAGAGAAAATATTTCGCAGCCACAATACATTGGAACTTGATAATCAGCAGAATACATGTTCGGAGGCAGCGACGAAGAATGGAATGAGCAGGTGATAAAAGATTATGGAAGGGCACTGAGGACATTTAAAACGCCATAAGAGTCCATCTTATAACGAAATAAACGGAGCTCAGAAAAGCAGAAAGAAATGGAAATGGAATGGCCCAGTGGGTTGGTGCTCAGTTCAGCGAGTCGAAGCTGAGGTTCTATATCCCGCAAGAGCAACTTTGTCCCTCGCTTGACTCCATCAGAAGTAAGCCTATCATCTAGAAATCTGCGGTTCTGGCGATCTACCAATTGTCTGTCGTCAAATGAATCCCTGGAAAAATTCTATAACGCACCAGCCTAACCACTTTCTTATGTAAAACTATCGCCAAAGAAGTCTAAAAGAAAGAGTAATTTAACTTTTAACAAAATATTTTTATTTCGTTACCCGTCTAGCATTTTGGGTAAATTAATTTTGAGTAAACTTCGTACAGACGATTAACACAGATTGCCTGGTTTCTGGTTCTTGTCTTCTTGCGTAATACCACGATATCTGGTTAGCCAGTACTTATTGGTCTGACTAGATGGAGAAGTCCCATAGGATTTTTTACCCTCCATGTTTTTCTGAGGAATCTCCCACCTTGGGATGGTTTTTCTGAGGAATCTCCCATCTTGGGATGATGATGGATGGTCACCGCGTTAAGCAGATATTCTTATAAATAATGCCAGCTACTCGATTCTATGCTTGCATATTTATCAATAACAAGTACTTACTATCTTACTTCTCTGGCATTATCTGTTGCAGGTCCAAGTTCAAATCTTCAGAGATCCAAATTATAATACAGATTTATTCGGCATAATATTATAGTATAGTATAGCAAAAAAATGATGTTTGGGAACGAGGTTGATGTTATTTGACAAACGGATTGAAACATTATGGATTTCGTTCAATGTTGATGTTGACTTATTGAGAACTGAGGAAAAGCATATTGCCACAAACGCGAGCTTAAATTAAATTAGAATTAAAATTATATAATTAAATTACGATATAATAATCCTAAGCCTAAGCCTTAGCTCTTTCCTGCCATGATGCTGGGCTTGCTAATAACCACTGGCACTTAAGAGTAAGGTTACCATAGAGTACCTATTTTTTGTAACAAGTAACAAATCTGTCCAAAAATGGTTTTCTTTTTTTATTCCGAAAGAAGTGAATAACCATATTGGTGATCATTAAAGCGTGTAACCTTCGACAGTCTGATGTGGAACCAAAGCACTAGCTTTATTTTTCCCCATGGTTAGAAAGTGATAAAACATTACTGTCATAATCTGTTTTTCAGCGAATTCAACCAGTTTTGAATATTTTTCCACCCCTCCTCCCCCCTCACCTCCTCGCTTTCTTGGTGAATGCTGAAGTTTTCATTATCTTTTAAACTTCTGTAAATCGAAATTACCACTTCCAAATTTAGAAAATCACCATTGCACCTTCCTTATAACCATACGAATACTTCGTTAATGTTACTTTTTTCCATTGTTGCAATATTTTCACAATGGAATTTATAAAGTATGCAGTGTCGCGAATGCCCATGAGCTACCATCTTCCGTTACTGAAGGACGGGGCAAATTTTCGCTAAATTTGGCTAAATGAAGCATATAATGTCTGCTGTAATACAAATATCAGAAAATGCCTTCCTGTGCTTCCTGTTTTTCGATAATCACTTCACTGAAAATTTAGAAAAAGTGCAATATTTTTAAGAAAACCTGTTAAATTGACCAACTGAGTTCAATTCTTTTTATAAATTTTTATTTATGTTCCGAATTATTTTTATAAGATTTTTATTTCATTATGATCAACTCGTTCGTATTTTTAGATTTTCACATTCGGACTGACAAAAAAGCTTCGTAATCACATTATAAAACGGGATAAAAGAACAGATGTACCACGCAATCGTCTATCTCATTGTGATGAATTTTTCATTTTGAAGACATTAATGGCCAAAAAATTTTATAGACAATTCACCATTCGCATTTCATAGACAATTTCTGAAACAAATGTTTTAATGGGAGTCAGGTTGAGCGAATGGTGGGTTGTGATAAGTCGGTCGGGGGCTCCACTTTTCGCTTAGCAAAGGTGTTGTCCCCAAAAGTGAACGACGAACGGCTACGAATCAGCCAAGCCAAAAGTGGAGAATGCTGTTGGAAGAGAGTCAATGAAATCCAATTCTATTTAAGGAGAGCTTTTTAACAAATCAAGAAACCTTTAATAGACTGTAAATAAGTAAGTGCATGGTTCGGTTCACGACTAGCCGTTTTGATAAGATATTAAAGAATAGGGATAATGAGAGCGATAGTGGATAGTACTATAGGTAGGAACCATCCAGATTTCTCAATAATCGCTTGGCTTTTGCCACAACCTTTTCACTCGAACTCTGCTATTTTTCTTCAGTGATTTTTTGGTATTATGCTAAATATATAAATGAAGAATTTTATCAAACGATTTGACTCGAAAAATTCCATATAAATAGAGAAAAATGAATGAGTTGCTTCATGTTAATTCGAATTTTATAAACGAAATAAACACAACGGAACAATTTTTCATATAACGAATTGTACTGAAATGAAAAACAACAAGCTTCAAGGAGAACCAATTTGCGGTACCAATGCATATGTAACTACGATTTAAGGAATGAGCTAACTTAGTTGATTCCAAATCATTTAAAATTTGCCATTCTGGCTTGCAACTTATTTTTTCTTCCCTAAAATTTTTAATCTTGTTTGCTTTATAGAAATAGAAACAATGATTAGTATTCCATTAGTATTTGCTAATTTTTTCTGAATGAGTATATGAAATCTTTTGGAGGATTGGTCGACGGTAAACTAAAAACCCATAGCAATTCGATTTCTTGAAGATTTTTATTCATTTAAGGAGTATCGCTTGGTGATGAAAGCAAAAACTGTTAATAAACTATAAATAAGCGGATGGTTAATTTCACTCGACTGGCCGTCATGAGAAGAAAATTTTAAAAATACGATGAGAGCGACGGTTGTGGATAGAAACTTAATACAATTATAATACAATTAATACAATTATATACAATATATATAAACTTTTGTATAAGTAATACAAACTTTTATATAAATACATTTAAACTTAACAAAGTACTTAATACTTAATATATAAAATTAAAATTACATACTTAATATATAAAAATTCACTATAAGAAACTTCACCAAAATCTTTATTATTATTTCCTGACGACAAATTTGAAAAGCATGGCACTACCCAAACGTTTACTCTGATTGTGAGAAAATTTTGTCTTGGAAAATTGCTAAATATTTAATATTAATATAAATTGACGCCATACTGCCAAATGAGAATACTGGTCTTAAACTCGTTTTATCTAAAATCTAAGGCCTCGTCATTTTATTATCCTTCGATCATGGGTAAACTGAATTTGATCATCAGCGCACATCAGCTATTTGATAAGAAATAAATTTAATTTTTCATCATTCGGTCAAATTTCACCCAAATTCTTTGAGATTTAGAATGCATCTATGCACTTTAATTTTGGTAGTGATAGAAGTTTTGCGAGAAAGAATTTGTTGGTTTAGAAAAGGGAAAAATCTTTTATCAGTTGAGCAAGTATTTTGAGCATTAATATTAAAAAGTAGTATTTTTGGCTAATAAAACAGTCTGCTTTGCAATTCGGTTGGAACTGACCAAGGCTGAAGCCGAAAGGACGATGCCGGTTGCCTTTAGCCAAGAAAAAATCTAAAACTTTAATCACTTCTTAATTTCCACTTCACTCGCGCCATAAAGCATTTATCACCAAAGTCCCAACTTGCCAAATGATGATTATGATGATTCCATTGCTTACTTCTTGTTTTTTAAGAATTTTTTAATTTACCCAAAATTCTCAAGTCATCCAGAGTCATCTTTTTTCAAATAATGCAACATCTTTTATAAACTTTTTTTGAATTTAACTTTAGACCAAAATTTTTTCAACATTATTTTCCTATGAATAATGTAATAGTTTTGTTTTTCCATGTTTATCGCATCAATCACGCATGGTTCATTTATTTTGGTGTAACAAATTCCTCTTAACTACTTCTCCTTACATGATCTATAATCAGTTCTAATTACGGTAGTGTGCTCGATCATTTCCAGTCAATAACTTTACATTCTGCCGCTTCTGATTATTACTTTACTTTACATTTGATTAATTATGGAACGTATTTTGTCAATTTCAATAGACGTTTCGGTTAATCCAAAATGCAATGAATTAGCGATATTATTTATAATTTTGCACTTTTTAAAATTTAATTAATTAAAGTGACAAATTTCAATTTAAATTACGATTCAATCAAATTACCGAGTTTTTAAATTAATGTAAAGTAGTGAATTACTTTTAAATTTCTCGAAAAAACTTGTTGAGCAACATTCTTAAAATGGAGGAAAATAATTCGCTCGTTTTCGCCATTATTTCAGTTTTTGAATCATCTGACTTTTTTCTTCCAGTTTTCCGTTAATTTTTTGAGTTTATAGTCATTTTTCATGAGTCGCTTGAAATTGTTTATATTTCTGTTGTGGTTGTAATTTAATTAACGCATAAAATGGAATATAAAAAGGGATGCTGACGACAAATTCTTCAAAAATTTCTGTTTATTAATTATATCGTATTGTCAACTATTTTTATCTTTAAATTTTTTATTTTACTTTACACGGTTTCCTTCTCAGATTAATTCCACTGGCGATTAATCCTTCGCCAGAGAGTCACTGAAGATGAAATACACTCGGGTTCCACCCAGATTTCACTCTTACAAATAACTTTCCTAAAAAACAGAAACTGAACTCATATACAATTAAATTTCTCGCATAACTGATCTACTTATAAGGTCTAATCACATAGTACACGGAATTCGAGCGGAGTGGAGCGGAATAGATAAGATTAGTATTGAAAGATTCAATTCTTGTTCGCAACCTGCCATTAAGAAGTACGAGTGGCCTATGCGGATCATCTTACCGTCAAATGGCTCTCTGGTAAAAATTACGTTGAGCACTAATCACTCAAATAATCATACTCATAATATTTAAATAATGAGATGTTTTTAGAATACGCGAATTTATATTTTTCATGATATTCCATGCGATTGTTTTGATACTGCTGACTAATCCAGTTCAGCGAGCTGATGGCCTTCGAATGCCACTTAAAATTCCTGTAGAAATAAGGTTTGATGATTTAGACCAATTTTTCATGCCAATGAACTGTTCACATGGTACAAAAACGTATAAAAAGGTATTTTCTTTTTTATATTAAATCGAATCTATTTATAAAAAGACAAAAAATATTTAAAATTCTGGCGATTTAATGGAGTATCCTTGCTTCCGAATTTTTATAATCGTTCAAAAAATTTAGCCAGTTTCATTCCATCAGCTAAATTACAGGATGAGACATGGCGAAGAGGACATTTGCTCTATAAATGTGGGATCTTTGGTGCTTATAAAATAATTGGTATGGGCATCTATTTTTCGCATTTATTGACCATTAAAAATTCGATTTCAGCGAAAAAATTTTGAAGAAAACTGTCGAATAAACACGGAAGTTTGAGATGAACACCGTTACTCGTCATTCATTCCTTCAGTCTTATTCCGTCAATTAGATTAATGATGAGAAATTTGAACTAAAACTATAATTTAATTATGATTATGATTTTTTGCAGGCTGCGTAACAAATGAGAACAAAACTTTGAAAATTGGTGAGACGTTTGTGGAAGATAATGTCGCTCACCAGTGTTTCAACAAATCTGGCAGTGTTTTTTACCGAGAGATTATCTGTGGATTGCTTGGACAGCCTGACTGTGATAAACTCACATTTGTAAGTGTGCAAATGAATAAATTCAAACTCCTGACAAATTTAAATTCTTTAAAGTGCACGATATTTCTTACAGTCGATTGCCATTTGATAACTGCCTATTCGATTCTAGTGATTTTAAATGATAACTGTTACTGTTATAACTGTTATTTCACGTTGATCTTAAATTTTATCTTTTAAACAATGAAATTTTTTCAGTAATTTAGAATAGAATTGTGCGCTAAATACATTTAAAGAACGAAAATTTTTTATTTCAGAATAACCCAATAAAAGCAGAAATAAATTTGCCTGCAATAGATCAACGCAAAGAAATTCCAGGGGTTTGATTCTTATTAAATATAGGCTTTCTTATAAAAAAATTTAAATTTATACTGGTGAATGAAAGCGTCTTTACTAACCTGAAAAGAACTAGGATTATGAAAAAATGCAGTTACAGGGATCAGTTGGCCAATTAGGACCGAGGCGGAGGTAAAATAAAACCGTTCAGACCGTTCATAGCTGCAAAACGCATTTAATTTAATTAACTGTAATTGTGGTTGCCGTTAACCTTATTTAAAAATTTTGATTTTTGATGACTAAAATTTAAAAAAGTCTTTCAAGCAAAATGTCCCCATTCTTTCTGCATTTTTTCTCGGTCCTATTTTTGTTTTATTCAAATATTTATTATTATTTCGAGAAAAAAGGATGCCCGTTCATTTTAAAATTTTAGCTTCCATTCTCATTATTATTTGTAAATCATTAGGCTTATCATATTTTTTCATTAATTTTAAATCGAAAATAACGGTCATTTTATATTTTCAGTTATATTCAATAGTTGTGCCGACCGGATGGAAAATAGTAGATTCAAATGGAAATTTACTACCGATATCTCACATCAAAATTTCTGATGGAAAAATTGTTGTGGGTCTTGCTCCTTCAATAATAAAATCTTTTTTGTCACGAGCCAGTCGATAATCCGCTATTTTCCATTTGCATAATTTTATTCTATTTATGAGCCTTATAAATCATTAAAATTTTTAAAATTTTAAAATTTTTATAAGATGTTACATAGTTGATAATATGTTTATATCATATAAATATCAAAGCGTTGCCTATCCGGCTAGGTTCGTTACCGCCCAAAATAGAAATTAATATGATAGACGAGTATATTAATATACGCAGCTAACCAAACCGATGGATTCAAAGGTGGAAAGGCTTAAAATCAAGGCGTGAATTATGTTCAGGAAAGGACTTTTCGAAGGACTTTCGAAGATTACAGGAGGCCAAACTATACGTGGGTGTAGAAACATATTTCTGGCAAAAGAAGCGAATTCTACTTCCTTCAGATATATGCGCTATTAGGAGAAGTAGACGCTTGCATCATATTTAATAGGAAGTGATATTCTATTTTGATTTTACTTGATTTAGGCAGCTCGAAAAAGGCGACAGGTTAATTTTGATGCATCAATACCTCCCAGGTCTATTAATGCTAAGCTCACTTTGGAGCCGTTGCCGAACCAAAGGATTGTTGGAATAGGCACTGGATCAGTATCACTTGATGAAAGACAACCTATATCTTCCGACGGAACTAGGAATTACAAGGTATAAATATTTCTAACTTATCGCTTTTTCATTTTAGTTAATCAGAAATTATAGCCTGCGACAGTTACTGGAAGTCGTAGTGACGTAAACTGGTCTGGTAAAACAATGACAGTTAATGGCAAGCGAATCGCAGTAGGGCCTGGAACTTTTACTTTCGGCAACTCGCCACAAGGCCCTATTTTCAAAAGAATCAATTAAAAATCTGCAATGGTTCTTTCAATTATTGGTTAAATTTTGTTGTTTTATTAAGCTTTGTTATTTTTTCAAGAGTAATCTCTACCTTCTGAATATTTGCTCTCACTTATTTTATTCCTATGTATTGTGTCGCAAATCTTTGTAATTATTTTGAGAATGTTCTCAAAAACCGAGTTTGTAACTGATGCATAGATTTTTGATATTTTTATTTTCCTATTATTCGAATATTTTGTGGAAAATGAAAAAAAACTTATTATATAATTAATTAACTATAAATGATCCAGCGGAAATCACTGCAAATATTTTAAAAATTTTTGTCACAACAGTGGAAATGGATTGAAATTACTAAAGCTTACAAAAAAAATAAAGCTGAAATCGCATTTTTATTCGCACTATTACTGCTGAAGAAAATTATTTGGCAGATTGGCCTTCGCTTCATTTATTATTTTTACAAAATGGTGCAAAATAATCCGCAAAATCACTTAATAATTTCACTTGTAATTTAAAATTTCTTTTTTGGAAAAAACTTGTTTTATTTTGAAAAAAACTTCATCAACAAAATTCTCTTATTAATAAGGCGAATGGCTTTGCTTACCCGTCATGACTAATACTAATAAAATTCATTAGTCTTGATGAATTTTTCTTCTTTCTAGTAGTCCACAACATTGCTAGTTTGGCGACTAGACATTTTGGTCCGATGCCAATCCTTTGCCATTTAAACTCGTATATCGCTGGATCATCTGCCTCAAAATCCCTTCTGATCGGTCTTGACTGGCTCTCTACACTTTTGACACCATCCGTCATGGTCAAATAGCGAGATGTTTCTCAATTTCTATGGTGGGCGACGATGAACATGACCAAACTAGCACAAACGACGGTTTATGATGAGATTCTTCTTAATGCAAGTGGTATTCGAGCAAGGATGTGTTTAATCCATAACTCTGAAACTCAGTCCACTTTGCGTGAATGTAAGACATAACTCCATGATATTTTCCATTCTCATTGATTATATAGTTGAACTGTGCGTACAACCAGATAGATGCGAAATTGTTTGAGATGATTTTAGAAAGATTTCGCCAAAAAAAAAATATTTTCTGCATTGACAATTTTATTCTTAATTCCAACAATAACTTAGGCTATAGAAGTTATCAGTGGAAGTTTCTGCTTCGCGAGATAAGCGCAATTTAACGCAGAGATCTTCCATCAGTGGTTGACAAAATATAGCCAGCTGACTTGTGTTTATTTATTGAAAACCAGCCAAGCAGGGCACAGTGCTGATTGTCTGGAAATTCCACCTGATTAGATGTCTTTCTAATACTGAAAGCATATATTGGTGGGAAAATTCCATTCTGCTCACCACAGAGGAAAAAACTCTCCATTGGCACAATGGGTTTCAGCATCGCATTTCTCGGGCAGAGAAAATTTATATTTCATGCTAAATTATGTTTTTATTATTCACCGTTATTTTATCTTCATAAAGTCAGCTCGTTTTGTGCTTTTTGATGCCATTCGCTTCTCGTTTTTCCTCTTCAATCATCAAATGACTGTGGTTTCAAAAAGCACTACTAAAAAATTTTGATATACGTCTCTTGTAAAAATTATAAGAATTCACTTGAAATTAATTGTCGATTTATTTTCGTGGAGAATTAATTTAATTGAATTAGATGAACTCAATTTTATGGGTGAAAACGAAAAAACGAAAAGGGAAAATATGGCAGAAATTAATTTAAATGCATATATATATATGTTATATATTTTAAATATGGTTTCAAAAAAAATGAAAATTTTTGCATAACTCAAAAGAAGCGCATCATTTCATTAAAATAACAAATTCGTATGAAAAAACTAACTTATCAATTTGTCAATTGGCTAAAAAACAATTAATTTATTTACAATTACAGCAATTAACAAACAATAAAGTGGAAATGCGGAGTTGTTGTGTAAAACTTAGCCGCCTTAGGCAAATACTGTTATTGTCATTCTTTCGCCGGAAGGCCAGAGATACAGCTTTTCCAACCGTCCTAGAAAGAATTTTACAGTGAAAAAAATGCTCATTTTCGATTGAATTTGCAAAAGTGTAGTTTCTAGGAAAAAAAGGAGAGAAAAAATGTATTGACTAAATAAAGTCCTTAAAAAAGATCTTACCAGAAGGAAGCTGGAACTTCATTGAGAATAAGAAAATGATGTTGTGGTCGATAAGAATCAACCTCAATGGGGAATTTAAAAATTGTTTAACTCTCCTGTCATAGATGATTCGCAGATAAATCGAGAATTTTCTAAGCAAATTATACCAGTCTAATTTTTTTAAGCAATGGCTGTCCAAATAATGGTAATGATTGCCAGTCCATCTAATTTTTTCAGCATTAAAAATAAGCATGTGCCAAAAAAAAATTGTTTAAGCTAAATTTTCATTGAAAAAATCCTGATAGCTAAATTTTTATGAAATCTAATGTGGTGCAAAATAACAAGATTCAGTTTACCGATTTTGATATAATTAGGAGAATTAGATCATATATTAAAGGTGATGATATCCAGTTTTCTTCCATGTGTAGATATGTGGCATTTGATGAATATTCTTTTGAATTCCTTGATTCCATGCTGATCAAAAATAGCTTCATAAAAGCCTTTATCTTACTAATGTCTTTATCTACTGATTTATTGATAATTGTTGCTAATTTACTTCAGAGTATACAATCTAATTTGGTACAAACTTTGAATTATTTAAATGCAATTTTGAAATTTTCAAAATCTTATTTTACTTATTATAGTAGGCAAACTCAATATAATATACTAAGGTCGGTAAAATAATCTGGGATAATAATGGTATTCATTTTAAGGTCACCAAAGAACACGTGGAGGGAATTCTTTGAGACCAAACTTGATTACGAGCCATCTTTCATCCAGAACATAACTAAAACGCTCGTCGAGCATGCAACTGTGAACCGCTAGCAACAAAGGAAATTTCTTTTATTCAGAAGCTTAAAGCCAATAAAACTTCCGAAGATGATGGTTTTCGGGCCGATTCATTCAAATGGTCCTTCCATCGTTCTTTACAATTCACCTTTAATAGATACCAGATGATTGGAGTAAAACTGGAGAACAATCGAGCTTTCAATTCTCAAGAAGATGATAAGACAAACTGTAACAACTATCGAAGAAAGTTTGCTAGACAACACTGATAAAAATTTTTGTTAGCCTTCTGTTGAATAGGCTTATAGCAGTTCGAGACAACAGGATACGAGCTGGACTTAGGGCAGTATGCTGATCAACTCAAAAGGCATTTCATTTCACTTCGAAACAGATCTGTGTATGTGAAAATAGCAGATTTTTTTGGAGTAAGAACTGGTCCGCTAGCGCTGCGTCCTTTCCTCTGCGATATGAGATAAACTGGATCATGGACAACGCTTGCCAACATTTATGAAGTGCACAATTCAATCCAGAGTATAGTTACGCTGTTTTTTCTTGAATACGCAGATGATTTTGTCCTTTTTGCTGAATGAATGTAAGAGATATTAGGCAGCGATGGAGAGTTGCAATAAAAATTGGATTCAGGGTGAACACAAATAAGACTAAACCTTTTCGTGCCAAACGCTGGCCCCGATTTTATCGTGGGTTGAGGAAGTCGCAGACACTTCAAACATTCTTATCTACTCTCATGGCCATACAAAAGGTGAAACTGAAGTCCCGTTAGAAATACTTTCGTCTGACAATGCCTGTATAGAATCGTGGCGAAATTACCAAAATGAAAGTTCATGTCTATAGGTACGAACTTGGTTTATAGCTACGAAATATGGCCAATACGAGTGGCAGAAAGCTCAAAATCGTCGCGTTTTGTGAATTTCTTTTCGATTGTGTTGTATCTAAAGCACGAAAAATTTATGGAAATAAAAAGCACAAATAAAAATAAATTGAAATGACTAAAAGCAAGGTAGAAAGGAAAACAGCCACTCTTCAGCTGATGTTAATCGTCACTGTTTCGTCGACTGAAACTATTGGTCTTATATAATCATCTATTTTTATAACCTTTGCCTGATCGGATTGTTGATTTTCCACTTCACTGATTCGTATTCTACTCAGTTTTGAGCAGAGATAATAGGAAGGTATCCATGTTTTCCATGTTTTGTTAAGACACTTTACTATCAAGAGGATTTCATTTATCTTTGCTTAAATACCATCTGCATCCAAAAATCGTCACGGAGCGTCAATGCTGTTAGACCATGTTCGCTATCCATCGCAGGAATCTCTTCTGGCTAAATTCTATGTTGGATGGTGTCAAGAGCGAGAGGAATCAATCGAGATCTGAATTGGTGCAGTCAGAAAAGATTTTGCACATATAGACAGCTCAGCGAATTGAAAAAAGTAGTTTATTTTGATATCACGCATGGCATCGCCTTACCCTTGCAGCCACCAAAGATAGTCTAGTCGGTAATGATGAGAGCCAAAAATATGCCTAATATTGACTGGGCTCATAATTGCTTGTCTAAGAACAATAGGAGTAATTCGAATAGAATTTTTACGGAGTACCTCTATTGTTTCTTGTCCATTACATTGATAATGCAACTTCAGCAGAATTTCTAATTTCTAATTCACGTATTTATCAGTATATTGATGAATGTAAAATTTATTTTCCATGATAGATCGGGAAATCTGAATGGCCTTCATGGATTTGAATGACTTAAATAACTTGGCTTCACAGTCTCCAGAAGATCAAAATTAGCGACAGGTTAATGGCAAATCCTATATATTAATGCTAAAAACTCTGGTCCATCTTTATTGGTCATTGTATTTCTTCTTGTGCGAATAATTGCTTTAATCTCGAGTTAATGAATGATGAAAACCTTATCATTGACTTACACTCAGAAATGAAGAAATTGTCAAGAAATCCTCTAAAATTTTAAACTTCTTCCATTTTTAGAAATGAATCAGCAAGTTTTCTCATTAATATGCACAAAGCATCTGTTCGTCCACATTTCGAATACAGTTACTCTTTCTTCACGTTCGTCGCCAAAGCAATTTTTAAATCTTGTTTCCTCATTTACTTATGCCTGCATCATCCTGGCTTAGGACAACCGAATGTGATCTAATTTTTACTCATAAAATTTTATGTTACTTTAATTGTGCAAAATATCATACTAAATATTAGTTGATTCATCCTTAAATAATAATCCAGGGAGTGACCAATTGCGACATTCAACGCTGCTCAAAATTTCTTGGAAACAATTGGCATAAGTTGCCGAATGGCGCCGTTTTTGCTCGCTCTGCTCCCACGCTCAGAAATAAACTTGCGAGTTTATTTATTAATTCACGGTATTGTCTTCACCATTATTCGCTCCGCTGGCTTGTCGTACACTGGACACATATGTCAGGGAGTTCCCTTAGCGAGGTGAATCGCTAGCATCACCTGGATTTCTGGACAGGTTTACTAATGCGAGGAATAGAACCTCAGCATTGGTGTTTCAAATTGAGCAACAACCCACTGAGCCATCCTCTTCTTAACTCGTGGTATTATCGATATATAATTCGATATTATTTTACAAACTGCTCGCTCTCTAATATTTCGCTTAATTTGCCTCTTCTAATATATTTTTATTTTCCACTGATATATTTGCTATTAAAATTACAAAGTGATTTGATAATTAATCATTAAAATTGCAGTCAGTCAGCTCCCTCGCTGTTGTTTTCGTTAATGCGTGAATATTATCGAAGAGTATGGCTTGCTGTGTGCCCTACTTTGCCTTGTTTTTAATTTATTAAATAACTTATTAAACAACCAGTATAGCAGACCATTATAAAGATATTCTTTATGCTCTAGCATAACGCCTTCCGAAGAGATAAATCACCGTGGGAAAACTAAGCAAGTGCTACGACCAGAAAATATGGAGCTGCAGTTTTTGAGCACTTTTAAAGTTTTTCATTCTAAAGTGATTATATTATTTCAGTGAATTTTCACGTAATTTATCATCTTCGTTGTTTGGATCCTTTGCATTTTAATTACTTTAATTACTTTTTATTTTTGATAGAAAGGTGATTGAATCGGGAAGAAAATTGGTTGTATGGACGTTTTCTGCGAAGAGTAATAGAAATGAGGAGAAACATAGCCGTGAATTACGTTTAACATGGGTTGTATTTAGCGTAAGCCGTGTTTAACGTGAAAGTTCGCTTTGCTTAATGATAGAAACATCGCTCGAGAAACGCTGTGGCTTTTTTGCGATTCGATTGCCAAGCAGCGAAGGGTTATTGATTTCTTTGATGATCTGTTGATCTTCTGTAGTAGTATGTGTGAGCTTTTTATCATATCGTATTGATTTTTATCAAATATCTTAACAAACAAAAATATGAAAAAGAAAAAGACATTAAGGAATGAAAATATGAAGTGGGAATAGGAAATGCAATGAAATATATCATAACTGTATAGTTAAAGATAAGTGTGAGTAAACAAATAAATTGATTTGTTAGTAAGGTAGAACGATTAAAATATCTTAGAAGGTAAAGATTAATTCCTCGGCTGCAGGCATTAGTTTTATACGTAATTCGTGAATAGTGTTTCTTTCTTAAGCTGTCGACGATATAGCAACATACTGAACGATTCATAAATTTTTTTTATTGTTGTGATATATTTTTGGAAAAAAAACAAAAAAACGCGTTAATATTTAAACAACTGATTTTAAGTTTTTTATAAAATGAAATAATCAAATAACGCGGTTCGAATTTCTTGTTTTTCTGAACGTAATGGAGTAAAAAGAAGTTTTCAGATATCATTTTTCTTATTTTAATGGTAATTATTAAGATTTGAATCGTATTTTCTTATTCTAAACTAATATGAATAGTAATCAGGTTATTTTATTCTTTTATTTTTGCTCTATTTAAAGGAAGTTTAAAAAAAAATTCCAAATAAGATGGTTTCGGTGAAGGAAAATTGCGAATACTATCTTCAGGAATAGTTTTTTTTAATTTTTTGCAAATTTAATTTTAAATAAAGATTTTCGGTAATTTCAAATTTTATTTAGAATGTGAACGATATAAGTTCACCATCAAATCATTTTGCTGCAAATGCTCAGCATGCTTTTTATAGTCAGCAAATGTTACTTCAACAACAATATATGCCTATGTCAACTATTTATGGTGCCCAACAGGTACTTTTTCTTTATCTCTTCTTTGAACGAACTTTTTTGGTTCTTATTAGGGTCTAGAATCACTAAAATTATTGCTGGAAAATTATTTTAGATGATGAAAACGTTGGTAAAATTTAGGAGTTGATTTTTTGGTTATAAATTTTATAATGAACAATTTATTAACGTTTAGAATGCTAAATTTTAGAAAAATCTGCTTTGTTTTGGAAATAAATAGGTTTTAATCGTTTTAATAGATATTATTTCCCAACTTTCTCCCACTCAGCTGCCTGTAGGTAAATGAATTAATGGATGAAGTGTATTTATTTATTTACTGATTAGACTTTTTAGACTTTGTTTTTTATTGTTAAATAAATTTATTTTTCCAGTCAAATTCATTGTATAGCTTTTTTTATTTTTATGTACCTTTTTTATTTTTATGCATTTTTATGTACTTGAAACTTATACCTTTATAGAATTGAATTTTTTTACATTATTTAATTATTTCATTATAGAATTATTCAGTTGCTTTATTTATTTCTTATTATTAATATTAATTTTTCTATTTTTTTTAATTTTTTTTCTGTCAGTAATCTATTTTTATTCTATTTTATTTACTCTATTCTACCTTTTTTTTGTTTTTTTGTATTTTTCAATTCTTGAGGGTATTCTTGGCTGTTCTTGACTCTTATTTTTTTCCTCTATTTATTACAACTATTAAAAATCTTACATGTTATTGATGCGTTATGTAATCTTTATTATGATCAGCTATATTTTATCGATGGCTTTCTGATGGTGAAATATAAATAAACAAGTATATTTATATTAATTAAAGAGTTGAATAATTATTTTTACTTTTAAGATATTACAACCACATCAAATGGATATACATACTTTCCAACAACAGCACCAGTTATTGCAAGCAATGCAGCAACAACAACATCAGCAACAGCAACAACAACAGCATCATCAGAACCAGCAACAGCAACATCAACATGTTTTGCATAATCAAACATCTGTTTTTGGTTTATCTGACTCAAATGTTTGTATTTTTTGTCTTTTTCCGCATAATTTTTTTTAATTTTTTACGTTTTTGCAATTATCTTCTTCTTTTATTATTATATCATGATCTATTTATATTAAGAGTATTGTCCAGCAACAAGCAGTATTCCAACAACCCTATCAACAATATCAACGAGCCTTACAAGTGATTTTAGAGACTTTCTACCAATGATTATTTTACAATTTTTCTGGCAGATTTATTCTTTTTATTTTTCAGCATCAGCGACAACTTGAACAACATCGACTTTTGCAACAGCAAAAACGACAGCTTAATCGCATGCATGAAGAGCGTGAAGCTTTCTTCCAGCAAGAACAAGAAGCAGTGCGTAAAAATTTTTGAAAATGCCTGTGATATCATTAATTATCGCTTATTTGTTGATTTTTCCTTATATCCCAAATTCCAGTTACAGCGGCATAAAGCTGAGGAGGATGCACGACATGAACAAGCCCGTTTAGAGCACGAAGAGTTGCAACGGCGTATCAAAGAGCAACAAAAAGAAAAATTTTTGCTGGAACAGCAAAGATTGAAAGAAGAGCAACGAAAAAAGGTACTCGTTTTTTAAACATTTTTCAAGAATCTCATTAATTTTATGGATAATTGGCGTCAATAAGTGAATTTTTAAGGAAGAAGCCATTCGCTTGGCCGAAGAACAGCGTAAAAATGAGGAAAAGGAACGCAAAGAATTGGAAAAAATAATGGCAGTGAGGGAAGAACAAAAGCGAAGACAGAAAGAAGCTGAAGAAGCATTTATAGTCATGCGTGAAAAAGCTAGTGGATTTCCCGTCCCTATTCACCTTGCAGGATGCCATGTGCTCACTAAACGTCCGTTTAATTTAATTTATTTGATAATATTGAACCATAAAACTACGATCTTTTAGTTCATCATATTTACACATCTACTCTTTTATAGCCTTTAACTCTAATTGTTATTGTCAGAATTCCATTGCAAAATGAATTCGACCATAGCGGTTCGACCTTTTATCGAATAATATTTCATTACCCGAAATTTTCGAAAGTTTTCTCAATAAAGTAAGCATCTAATTTAGTTGAAGTTTTGCAGACATAAATAAATATAAATAATGAAAATTTTTCAGTTGCTAATCACCTTCCATTTCCCAGTCCTTTTTTACCTCATTCTGACTACCTCAAAGTCAATCTTTATCCGCATTCATCTTCTTTGGTTCTCGAACAAAATGACCAGGGATTTATCATGTTGCTTTCGAACGCATTATCTGAAGTGGACGTTTCCGAAGTGTTAGTTTTTTTTTTAATGTGGGGAGTTTACTTATAATCGGGGTTATTTTCATTTCATTTATGTATTTTAAAATGTTTTATGCTTATTGTTCCTTTTCCACTGATTGTTATTTTTAGTTAATAACAGTTTTCAGAGGTGATAAAAAAGAAAAAAATGTTTTATAGAATTTATTATGATCGATCTTTAGGTGCTTAAAGCATGAAGATGGCGAAAATAACGATCTTGGTCTTGATTCATCTATGGTTCCTGCACTTGTAAAGAATATTGCATCGTTGGATGCCCATGTATATTAATTGAATATTCGTTATTGTACAGTTGTTAGCCATTTTTTATTTCTTTAGCGAAATATTTCAATGATTTTTTGTTAGGTAAAACTATTGCTGATTTGCCGTAATGCCATACTTTTTCTCATAATATTTTCAGGCTTTTGATGTAAATCCACGGCAGGATTCGGCTGCAAGCACTGACGAAATATTACAAATTCCTCTTGAACAAGTTTGTAGTTCTCATTCGTATAGAGTACCATTTAATTCAAAATATCTACAAACGCCGAAAATACCCATAAAGCCGAATTAGTAATGAATAAAGCCTGATTTTATTGTCCAACTTATTCGATCCTTTTCTAGCTTCTTTTATTTTAATCTATACTTTTTTCGTATTTTATTAATATAATTTGTTTATTTGGAGGAAAAAGCCTGTTAAAACTTTTTTAAGGAAAGAAATCAGGTTGGAGTTGAAGGATTATGTATTTCTTCTCAAGCGAACTTTATATCAGATGTAGAAAATAAGAAATATGCCGATGAATCAAAATCTTCCGTTTGTGAATCAACACCAACAACTTCATCTACTGGATGTAGTCTTTTAGATCAGGACCAGACTCAGCTACGTCGTCAAATAGTCTCGCTTGGTAAACAGCCAAAGGCACAACATGGTCGAAGAAAAAGAGATATGGTGCTCATTTATTTTTTTTCATTATTGACTTTATCAAATTTAAAATTTTAAAGATTTTCAAATTTTCATTATATTAACTTTTTAGGTGGAATCTTTAATTGATTCACTTACTCCTTTTTTCGGTGTCACTAAGGAACGACGGCAGCGCCAAAGAACGAAGACATTTGAAGAAGAACAGCACGAAAAGGTTCGGTGCCTTCAATTTAAATTAGTTTAAATATGCTGTTTATTTTGGCTTTATAAGAATGGTACTATTCGTTAATTCATTGGTCATTTTCTACTACACTAATAAAAATGAAATTTAAGCTGTAAATTCCAAAACTTTACTCTTTTTGTACCACGCAGAAACATTTTCGTCCTAAAAAATTTAAATTAAAAAATTAATTTTAAAATAAACATTGAATCGTATTGAATAGTAATTTGTTTAAAGCGAAATTACTTACTTTCTTGCAATTGAATGAGATTTTTTTATTTAAGAAATTTATTTTAGGAAAAATAGAATTAATTCATATTTAGTATTATCTCATATTTCATGCTTTTCATTATTTCATGTTGATTTTTTACTTAATGATTTTGAGAATTGAATTCTTATGACACTTTCTCTATAGATGCAACTTGAAATGATTGCGCAAATGGAATTGGCCGAGGAAAAAGAAAAGATAATGAAAGGTTATTACTTTATCAAAATTTTTGATTTTTTCAAAAATTGCTTATTTGTTTTCTTTGTTGTTTTAGAGGTTTTGGGCTGCAAAGTCTTCAAACATCTTTTCAAATCCTGTTTCCTTACACTTCTTCCTTAACACCAGCTCAAAATTACTTGTCGGAGGGAGTTTAAAAAGAATTTAATGGCGTTTTTGTATGGAAAAAGGATGGAATTGAGTGCTAAGAGGATGAAAAAATAAATAATTAATTTAATTGTTGTTTTTTTAAAATATTTTTTAAATTTAATTTTGGCGCGAAATTTTCTGATTAATATGCATGGAAACTTTTGTCTTTTTTTGCATCAATTTATTTAGGTGTTTTTTGTATTTTTGGATTAAATTTATTATTCGAATGATTTTCGTATAAAATAAATAGCTATAAACTTTTTTTTAGAATTTTTTTTTGGATTTTTTGAATTATTTTAATGAATTTGTATATATTTTTGTGCTTTTCTCCATCGTCCTATTCTAATCTAATTTTTTATTTTTATTCCAATTTTTTAACTCAATTTTATTATCTTTTCTTGATTAAATGATCAATTCATTTAAATTATGTATAGAATGCAGATTTTATCCTTAATTTAGTTCTGATTATGCAAAAGCTTAAATTTATTTTTGCTTCTATTTGTGTCATTTTGTTTTGAAACTTTTTCTGCCTTCCCTTGTTTTTCGAATTTTTTGTTGTTAGTTGAAAATATAAAATATGATATAAGAGAATATAAAACCTTAAAATTTGCTTGAAAATCATATTAGTTTCTTTTTTATTAATTTGTTAATTGATTAAAGTAAGTGGTAAAATAACCAAAAATATGGCAAAAAAACAAAAAAGTGAAAAAAAAGTTATGCAAAAAATGAAATATTGTTTATAAAATTTTGATTTTTATTTTTATTTTTATTTTTATCAAATTTTAAGATTCTATGTTGGACAAAACCGAGCATCGTCCAGATCATGTTGGTCCATCAAACGAAATTATCGATAAGCCAAAGTTTTTTGAAAGCAACAAAATCAGCCGGAAACGAGTAAAGGATCAGTCTCCTGATCACCTAGAGAGGCCAATTACGCCAACAGAAAGTAAATTTTGAATTTTTATTTTTTTATGATTGGAATTTTTCACAATCAGAACTAATTATGTCATATCGTCAAATTTACTGAAAATGTTTGCATCCTTTTTTATGTTTTATCCTTCTTAATACTGCTTCTCGTTCTTAATGGAATAAGTTTTTTTTCATGTTACTAGCGTTTTTCCGATATTTTTCATTTTATATTCTTTGAAATTTTTCAGTTATACAACAGCGAGAAACTGAATGGCGAGAACGAGAGAAAAAGCGGAAAGAGAAATATAAACGTCGTCAAAATGATTCGGAGGATGATTGTTGGAATAACGAAGGTCGAATTCCGATTTCTAAATAAAATTTTATCTTTTAAAGGAAATCCGTGAATGCAAAGGCAAAAAAATTTTATAGAAATTATTTTATAAAAAATCAAGGCTTTTCAATATTTTTTTATACGCATCGTGAATATCTGTGGAAAGGTGATTTTTTTTATTGATAAAAAACAAATGCCGACCAAAGCATTAGGGTGATCCCGGGTGGGTTATTTTGATTATTTTATTTTATTATATTTCTTTCATGAATATCTGTTTCCCTCAAATGTTATGTTTCCAGTTATGGCTGAGAAAGAATCATATGCGAGATTTACGAGCATTATTGATCAAATTTTTGATAATGTTGAAGATTTAGATATTATGGGAGGCATCGAAGGTGAATTTTAATCAATGATCATCTTTTCTCTTTTCTATTATTGTAGCTTTTCTTTTGTTAATTCTTTTGTTAATTATAAGAAAATTTCAGAATATAAGATATTTGTGCATATTATTTTTATGAATTTTAAGAATAAAATTTACATCTCTAGAGAGTAGAATGGCTGAGTATGTTACTTTGACTTTGAGATGAAGCAACATAAAAAACATTTCGATTCGTTAATTAGATAATTAAATAATTAATTAGATAATTAAAGAGAGAAGAGAGAGAGTGAAGAGAATGCTTTTAAAATACTTCTATATTTAAATTTAGATTAAAATTAATAATTTTTATCATTTTTTTTTGAAGATGACGCGGAGATTCCTCAAGAACTATTAATTGATAAACATCAGTTAGAAGAACTTCGTCAAGAAGCACAAAAGCTTAAATCGTGGAAAGTGATCAATAAGGTTTTTTTACTTTTTATGGAAAATACCATGAAATTTTATGTAATTAATCAATTAATTAATTACATACAATTTTAGATGTTCATTTATTCAGATGTTTTGTTTAACAAAAATTTCCAGGTGAATCCTGAAAGAATTGTTAAATTATTAACGATCTTGGAGAAGAATATACGTGATGTAATAACAGTTGATGGTGGTCTACCACTGATACTACCTTTTTTTGAAGATGTGGGTTTAAAGATTATATAATAATAGGATAAATTACATAGCTTACCTACTTATCATATATTTATAACATACATTTCAAATTTTTTTATTCAGGAGATAAGTTATTTTTTACATCATTTTTTATTTTCTAATGGATCTGTACATTATTTAAACGGTCGGAAATAAGAAAATTATTTCAAGAAATTATTCGATTTAATCAAAAAAGAAATAAAAAAACATATTGAGAGTAAAAAGCAACAGCAACAAACAATACAGGGAGAATTTTTACTAATTTTTTTCAGGGGGAAGAAGATGAGTCAGATGAAGCATATAGAGAACTTATTGTTGATCGGATTTTAAGGGCAGCGGATGCTTCTTGTACTGCTATGATGATAATGACTTCTACTAAGATGCCAAAACAGGTCATTATTCCTTTTTGTTTCCATATTTCATTACATTACTATAAATTTATATTATTGTAATTTACTATATGTTTATATATGTATATTGACTATTAATCATGAAATTTCAGCAACAGATTTTTTTAGGTGTTTATTGAAGACACCATCGACAGATCAATACAGCTTTGTAAGCAGTTTCTTACAAATATCGTCTTTCCTGCTTTTGACGGTGTTTGTAGGGTTCCTTCTAAAGCAAAACGCACAGGTTTTTCCTTTTTTTTTTTTATAAGTCATATATTTCATTGAAAAAGTTTTTTGAAGCACATAAAACAATGGTTTTCTGCTATATTTGCTATATTTTGCGAAATTTTCTTGTGAAAAGTTTCGAAATTTTAATGAATTTTTGAAAATATTCGTAAAAAGTTTTCAGAAGATAAGAAACGCAGAAAAATTATAAATCAAGCATACTTACGTACAACGCAGAAAATATATACAAGTGTGACTGAACTTGTTGGATGCTTTTCAGAACTTGTTGGTTATTTTTTTATGTGTATTTTCATTCACTTATTGTTTATGCAAATATTAATATTTTAAATTATATGTAACTATACATAATGTTATTTTAGGTACGAGCTCAGTCATTAACTGATACTGCCATACTACAACTATGTAGTTTGGCAACGCCATCATTCTTCGTGGACAATGTAGGCGAATTACAGATGCAATCAATAAAATTACTTTCTGCTATATTTGCTCGTTATGATATGTTCAGGAAAAATATAATACAAGTAAGCACTTTATTGTTCTACTTTTTGGTCTTGTACATTTATAATATTTGCTTTAGGATTTGCTCAATTCTTTACATCGTCTGCCTTCAATAAAAAACGCAAAGAATAGTTATCGTTTGACATCAGAAGATTGGATCAGCAACCTTACAATCCTTATTATGCAGCTTGTTCAATGTACAGTAAAGGTAAGTTGGCCTTTGTATCTTTGTTTTTCTTATTATTATTTTTGATTTTTATTCCAATTTTTTCTTTTTTTTAAAGTTTTTGCTTAAATTTTTTGCAGTTTTGGTTATTTTTTCTTATTTTATTGTGAAAAAAATTTTTTTTTCCTTATTTGCCAAAGTCTGATTTTTTAGATTTAATTTATTTTGATTTTTTATTTCGAATTTAGGCTGTTAAATTTAGGCATTGTTAATTTTCACTTGCATAGTGTTTTTTTTAAAACATAAACATAAATTTTTGTATAAAAGTGTTTATGTTTATGTATGTTTATCTACTCGTTAGACTTTCTCAGCATCCTCAAATTTTGTTAATATGGACGTTTTATAGTCAAAAATGTGTAGAGTAAATCTTTTCCCGCATCCCAGTTTTGCTCTCATTTTATTCTATTGTTGCTTCAATGAGAAAGGCTTAAACTGTCGAGTTTTCAAACAACTTACTCCTTATCCTTATAATTTAATCCTTATTAAAAATTAAATTAAATTAAATCCTTATAATTTAAGTAAAAAGTGTTTTTTTGTAAAATTATTTCAGCCTGTCATTACAAAGTTTTTTTCCTAGCATTTTTCATTTAAAGAAATATTTTTTACTGAGAGCTTAAAACATATTAGAGTGGAAAAGTTCGTTTTAAGATTCCTCGACGTCGCCGAAACGAAGATTCTCATCATTCAGATGGAGATGAAGATGCGTCAAACAAAGATTCAATAGTGAAATGTTCTTTTGCGGAAGCGCAAAAAATGGCTACAATTTTTTTAAAAGGATTTTTGGGAAAGTTAGTTTTTTATATTTGCATTATTAGTTATTGGCTTTGGTGACTTATTTTACAATTAGGTTCTTTGTTGTTACTCCTTTTTAGATTTCTTATTTTAATCTTTCATTCATTCAATTTAATTTTCAATTTGTTGATAGCTGCAGATCAATATTTTTGTCAGGTGTACTGCAAAGTCGGAAGAAGATTATCGGCGTTTATTCGATCAGTTTTTGCACGATCTGTTGGCTGCTCTTTATAAACCTGAATGGCCTGCTGCTGAAATGATGTTGCATATCCTTGGTAGTTTATTAGTTAATTTCTATCGTTCGAAAACATTGGATATGTCATTAAGAATTGCCAGGTAGTTATTTCAAGTTTCTCGTGTTACTCTCCGTTGACATTGGTTTAGTCCAAAATTTTTTATCTTCTTGAATTTTTTTCAGTTGTATGATTTCTTTTAGTTATATGATTTCCATGATTTGTTTCGAGATTTTTTTCTAATTATAGTTTGGATTACTTGGGTACGATAACAGCACGCTTACGAAAGGACATAAGACAAGCATGTTCTGATGATGACCGACTTGATTTGGTGGTGCGGACTTTGTTATATGATGAACTTGATGAAAATGAACGTGTTGGTGACGTCAGTAGCGTTGATATCTCTCATGTATGTTATTTTTAGTATTTTCGCTGTATTTTTTTTCTCATTTTATAGTATAACATTAGATCGCCCAAAACTTTGAAAATTTTTTTCGTCATGACAGTCAATATTTTCATTTAAAGTAAGAGCACTTACAACAATCAACAACATGGTACAAATGCTCTTATCCCATAAGCACAAAGATCTGAGCCTCTGCAACCAATAAATTGCCGGAAGTGGTTTTCAAGATTTTATTTTTTTCGAAAGTATTAAATTATCGAATGAATGGAAGAAAGTCTGTTGGCGAAGTCTGAGGGAATATAGTGGATGAAGGATGATTTTGATGTTTAACTTGGCAAATTTGAAAATTCTTTCTTAAGGCGTATGTTCTGGCATTATGCGGAATGATGGAATCTTTTTTCATGTATTATAATTTATTTCCATAATCTTTATGATACTTCCAGTGCATGAAATATGTTGAATATATTAGTTATTTTCTGATGAACTCTTTTTAACTCTTTATCTCTGCTGTAATCACTGCAACAGTTCTTAGGAAGTTATGCTGTCAGTCCTACAGCGGTCCACCAAAGAGTGAAAGCATAAGTTTCTTCAAGTGAAGATCGGTTTTGGCATGTATCAGGAGAATGCTTGTCCAGTTATTAAACCGATATTTTCATCTTTTTGTCCTACAGGATCCACAAAGAACCATTTTTCTGTCATATTGAACTCACTGATGCCTACTCAATTATCAAACGTGGAGAATCCACTTGTCTTTTTTCTTCTTCCTCAATGCTGGCATAAAGTAAAATTCTAACTTCTTGCGCGAAGTCTCTATAATTCCTGGGTTCAGCTCCCACCAGTTCCATCAGGGATTCACCTATACAACTTAAGAAACATTCGCAATGTGAACTATTTCCGCATACTTCTGGATTCAAACTTCGCAAAACCATTTTTGCATTGTTCTTTGATCTTGATTATTGACCAAAATTTGTTTGTATACTGCGAGTTGTTTCTATCGCTTGATCCTCCAGTTTAAACTCATAAAGTATCAGGAGATGAAAATTATGGTGTTGAATCTGATCGAATAAAAAAAATAAAAATAATTTAGTTAAGCTGTTGTTCCTACTATGAAATGAAATGAAATTATATGTCATGACAGGCCGATACAAGTTAAAATACGTGGTATGGCCACGAAAATACCCAGCTACTAAAAAGTGGCTCAATCCAGTAGCCCAATTTTTAAAGATTCAATAATCATGGATTTGTTCAACTTAATTTTTTATTCTATTGTTTTATATGTTATGTTACTATTTATAAAAATTTTTAAGTTATCTGGGATGGACAAAATGTGCATGATTGAACGTGCACTTATTGATTATCTCATTGAAAAGAAGGGTAATTCAGACGTTTCTGTTGAGGTATTTTTTTTGTGGTTAAAAATGCCTGAACTATTAGGAAACTTTAGAATTTCGGTTGCAAATGGATTTTTTATTTTAGTTCATAATTTTACAGATGAAATATTTGTTGCGTAAAATCACGCTCTAGTTCATTGTTGTTTTAGCAAGCTATTATGTTCTATATTGGTCAGTGGTACAAAGAAATATGTGATGAAAGTGATGCTGCGAAACAAAATTTGAAGCAAACGATAAATAATCCAGAATTATCCGACAAGGAAAGGAAAAAATTTGAGAAAAGGGCAGACAAGGTATCATATTTTTCTTTTTTATCTATTTTTTTCGAGCGTATTCTTTTATTAAATTTTTTAAAGAGTCCTTACCATTACTGGTTAAACTCGTTCCGCTGGCTTGTTGCCTTGAACAAATATGCCAGGGAGTCCCTTGGCGATAGAAATGCAGGTGAGTCGCCAGCATTACTCGGATTTTTGGACGAGTTTACTCCTGTGGGAAATCGAACCTCAGCATCAGTACTCCGAATTTAGTAACAACCCACTGAGCCATTCTATTCCCTTATTATTTTTGTGTTGGATGGAATTCTCTATTCATTATTTAAATGAATCTTGAAATAAATCTGTATACATACCTTAATTTTATCGGTGTTATGTACATATTGATTAAAATTGATTAAGGCGATTGAGCGATGCCATTCTATGAAAGAATTTCTGGTTAAATTAGCTGACAAAAAGCATATGAGAAAAAGAGCAGAACACATTTCGTAAAACTTTTGACTTTCTTTATTTTTTTTGTGTTTTTCATTATTGTTCGTTAATGTTCGTGTGTTATCATTTCGTCACATTTTTTTCAAGATATTTTTATATTTTTTATCAATATCGGATTTTTGAAATTCTTTAATTATTTCAATTTCGTTAATATTAATTTAATATTTTCCAGACGCACTGGTAATATTCTTATTGATAGCGATGCACTGTGGTTGATTAAATATTTAACCTCAAACAGAGAATTCAGCCAATGTTTCCATTTATATCTTAATCATGTAAATTTTCCATATTTACATTTGAATCCAGTTTTAGTCTTTTATTTTAAGCTTATGATACAAATTCTTTTTAAGTCATGCATAAGTTTTAGATTTTGTATGGAGTCCACAGCGAACAAACTGTTGGATTAAGGACAAAAGCTATGCGTTGCTTAACGTTGATCATTGAATCTGATTTAGAAGTACTTCGAATGGTATTCTTTTAAATATTTAATTTTTTAATTTTTTAATTTTTTTTAGAACTGCAAATATTTTTATTTTAAGCTGTCTTGTTTTTTAAAATTATTTTATTTCTTGTCTATTTTTTTGTTTCTTCGCTATCATTGTATGAAATTTAAATTGCTTTTGCATTATAGCCTGAAGTTCAATGTGCGGTGCAGGTGAGAATGATGGATTCAAATGCAGCTGTGCGTGAAGCAACAATAGAATTGATTGGTAAATATGTAGTGGCTAAACCAGATTATATTAATCAATATTATCCTATTCTTATCGATCGAATAAAGGTTTTTTTTATCGTATCTTGTGGTTCTTTTCCTTTAATATTTTAGAAGATAATAGGAATAGTAAAGATTGAATATCATTTGAATAGGATTCTGGTGTTGCCGTTCGTAAACGTGTTATCCGCATAATGCGTGAGATCTGTGAAAAGCAGCCGGATTTCGAGGGTATTCCTGAAATGCTATCTAAAATTGTGCGCAGAATCGCTGATGAAGACGGAGTGAAGAAACTTACCATTGAAACTTTTCAAGCACTGTTTTTCCAACCTGTTCGTGAGCGTGATTCCATTGTATTGATTAAAAAAGTAAGAAAATCATCTATAACTATCAAAATCATTTATATATATATATATATATATATATTGGGAACAGGATGGCTCAGTGGGTTGTTTTTTCGGAGCACCGATGCTGAGGTTCGATTCCCCAGAGGAGTAAACCTATCCAAAAATCCGAGTGATGCTGGCCACTCACCTGTATTTCTATCGCCAAGGGATTCTCTGGCACATTTGTCCAATGCGACAAGCCAGCGGAACGAGTTTAAGCAGTAATGGTGGATTTCTTTAAAAGAAAAAAATGAAAAAAATATATGTATATAATGTTTGGGTGAATTTATTTCTGAAAAAAAGTTCTCGATCACAAATAGTGCATAGGCTAATATATTTATACTTTCATTTTCATTTTATATCTCATTTTATATTTATATTTTATATTTTCATTATCATACATTTTCATTATCATACATATTTTATATTTTCAGCGAAAATGTTAAAGTAAAAAATTTTCATATTGAATTTCTATTAATTTCTATTCCCTGTTCTGTACTTTTTACTCATTTTCTTCATTAATTAGCATTTTTGTAGTAATATCTTTCATTGAGATCTTTGTAAGCCTATTTTGCATAACAGCACTCATCTTTATATGTATCTTTATGTCAGTTTTCTCACTGCACTTTTAGTACTATGGATGGTAATCTCAAAAAGTGATGTGATGTTGAATATATATGTATAACGTTCATAATTTATATTTGTATTTATTTATATATACATTATTAATTTATATTTATATATACATTTACAATTTTGGGAGATTCAAAATTTTTGGAGACGGCATTTCTTTAAAGATTTTTGTTTTTTTAAATTAATTTTATTTAGTTATCTTGATTTGATAAAAAACTTAAGTTTTTTATTTATCCTTGAAAAAAATTTTATTAATTTTTTTCTTTTATTAAAGGTGATGACAATAACGGATGTGATCCTGATTTGTATCAAAGAAAATACTGTAGAATTTTTTGAACAACTTTTGAATTTGCTTATTAAAAGCGCCGATAGATCTATTATATTTGCCTCGAGACAAATTGTTGACACTCTTGTTGATAACGTCATCACTCTTGACTCCAAACTCGCATCAGGTAATATAAATATATTTGCATTTTTTTTTTTTTCGTCGATTAGATGATATTTTTATATGAGAGGTTAATTTATGGTTTTTATGGTCCTTTTTTCTTCAATTCTTTTATTTCTCAGATTTACTTCCTTGAAAATAATCGAATATTTAGGGGAAACAGAAATAAGTAAATCCAGCGGTGAAAATTCTTCATTAAATTTGGCTGTAGCGCACAAAGAACATCAGGAACGGTTGCTTGCTTGTTTAACAACTCTTTCGTTGTTCAGTAAAGTTCGTGCTAGTCTTATGGTAAAGCACGCGGAAACTTTACAACCATATCTCTCTATAAATTTAACCGGTTCAGTGGAGCAGCGAGTTATGAATCAGGTATTACCCAATTTTAAATTGTTATGGTTTTCTAGCTTTGTCTTTTCAGTGGTTTTGAATTTTCATATCATGGTAATTATCGGTGATCATTTTACTTTTATTGCATATACTTTTTTCAGATAATTAATATGCTAGAAAGAGTTGTGCCGTTAATGGAACATCCTTCAGAATCTTTTTTAAAATCATTAGATGCCAGTCTTTGTAACTTGGTTATGGATGGTAATATGAGAATTATAGCTTCTGCTTTGGCTTGTATTTCTGCAATTTATAATAAGTGGAAAAGATGGAGACCTGCTGTTATTCAGCGATTTCTTTCGTATTTGAGTAAGTTTTTTTTTGTTTTTTTTTGTTCCTCTTCGTTATCAATTATATTTTATCAAATAATTTTTCAATTTATATTGTAGATTATTTTATTAATAATTATTAATAATTATTAAAATTATTTTATTAGTAATTATTATAATTATTATTATAATTTTTTTTTTCGTATAAAAAGTGAAATATTTCTAATTTATTGGATGATATTGGAAAGTTATTCCTTTATTGATTTTTCAAATTGCTCATTTCATTCTTTTCAGTTTTGAAATTTTGTATATATAAAAATAATTGATATTCCGCTTCATTATCTAAATTGTTATAGGATTTCTGAATCAAACAAAAGGCGACTTTGAAAATAAACCAGGATATATCCTTCCCAAAGACAAATCTCCAGTCGTTCAACGGTAAATTTTTAGATTTCATTTTTAGGGCATATCTATAACTTTCCTCAAAATTGACTAATTAATAATTAATTGTTTTTCGGAGTACCATGATTAGTCTTTGGCTTGTTGAATTAGACAAATTTTTAGAAGTTACTTTGCGATAGATGAATCGCCAAGCATCCCGAATTTTGAAAGATAGATTTCGTTTCTGCTGGAAGAATTCCGGTATCGGCTCTCCGAAGATGATCCACTGAATCATTTTAGTCATAATTGAAACTGATTTTTTAGGTCTTTATATTCAGTTGGCCTAATGTCAAGATATTTTGATCTTGATGACATACTAGTTGATGATCCGGAGGCAAAGTCAAATTTAAGTGGTAACTGTTCTCTTCGACCTATAAAAGATTCTTTCATAAGCACTGACGCCGAAGTTCAGGTGGAGAAAAAAGAAAAACCTTTTACGGATGATGTATTTCGTGTTCTTACATTTTTCTGCCGCAGTCGCGATGCAGCGATCCGAATGAAAGCTTTAACAGCAATAGGTTAGTGTTAATGAATCACAAATTTATATTGATATTTTGTAGGATGGGTCTTCTATAATTTCTATTTTAGGAAATTTTACTGCTACGAATGCTGAATATCTTTCTCGGCACGAAACACGTAATATGTATGTGACATTACTTGGGCTCGATGACAAAGAATATTTGGATTTTAAAATATTGACATTAAGAAATATTGAATTATTTTTATCAACAGAAGAAAGTAAATTAGCCAAAAATAACGATGAATGTTAGTTTTGTAAATTTTGATTATGGCTGTTACGCCTTTAAAATAAAAAGTGAGGGCAGTGCACATAATTAATAAAATCCAACTTTTTGCTTGAAAGATTTCTTATTATAAATTACCTTGTTGAATTTTTTTCCTTGATTTTTATTTTATATATAAAAATTCCAGTCATCAGCTTACTGTCACCAGTTAACTAAATTTATGGAAATCATAGCAAATAGCAGTTTTATTTACTAGAAAATTTCAGGGCAAAAAGTCAAAGATGACCAAGATTTGAAAGAAATGGAACTTGCCAATTCAGGTTTGGCTTCAGCCATCATTCAGATCTATTGGAATGCTATACTAAATTCTTATTTTAATTCCGATGATAATGTAAGAACATCGGCTGTACAGGTATAATGGATAATAATATAATAGATACAAAACTTATAAAACTTATAATACAATATATATAAAACTTTTACAATATTACAGTAGTGTATAAATTTTTTAAATTTTCTAAATAGAATTTTGTTCAGAAGATGCAACAGATCGTGATACAATTTCGTTGACTTTTATTTAGGTGACGATGTTGACCTTAAGTCAAGGTTTGGTGACTCCCGGATCGTCTATTCCAACTCTGATTGCAATGTCTACTGATTCAATCCCAGGCATTCGAAATAAAGTTGAGAATATGTTGAAGGATATTGATACAAAATATTCTGGAATGGTGCCGGTATGAATCGATTTTTTTAGATCGATCCTTTTCGAAAGAAAATTTGTCAGCGAAGGGACGCTGTTGAAAATTAATTTTTTTATATAATAGATAAATTTCAGAGCAAGGCTGTGGCTGGAATTCGTTGTGCCTTTCGTCTTCATCGACTAATAAAAAAAGATTCTAGTGAAATTTTGCGTGGGATTCGGCGATGTGAATCATTATGTACTGCAAGTAAATTTTATTCTCTGAATTTTCTGAATTTTCTCTGAATTTTCTGAACTTTCTAAATTTTAAATTTTTTGATGTGATAACACAATTAACCATTGACATTTTTATCATAGAATTCTCAAATCTTTTTTACCCATTTATCTTTTTTTTATATGGTCAGTGTACTTGATTTTAAGCAGTGAAAAAATTGAAACTTTTTTTAAAGGAATTCGGTAATTCAGATATGAAAATGCCTATTAGAATGGAAAATGGAATTCCAAAGATGACTAACGATGGCCAGGCTATGCTATGCGGTCTTTATCAAAGTCTAAGAACAAATCGACAAATACGGAGAAGCTTTTTATCATCTCTTCTTCGACTTTTTTCAGAGGATTGTCGTGAGGTGGCTATCCATTAATTTTCGCCCTATTAATTGACAGGAATTTTTCCATCAAAAAATTAAAAAGCTGAAGTATTAGGTTACATTTCAAAAATATTAGATTAGTAAATAGATTCAATGTTTCAGTTATTAAATTCGCTGTTTCAGAAATTATCACTAGAAGAATGGGTGTTTGTGGCAGACAATTTAGCCATGTTTCCTTATCAGGTTATGGATGAACCATTATATGTAATTCGTCAGATCGAATCAATTGTATCAATAAGCGGCCAAAATATTATTAATAATTTTATGACCCAGCTGGTGCCAAAACCGCCTGGTGGGGAGCTTGATGATGATGCTGAATTTAATGCTGAATTAATTTATAGTAAGTTTGGATGTCAATCATAGAGAAATCACTGATATATCATTTTGAAAAAATGTTGAATCGCTTTTCAGGACGTCTTCCCGAAGATAAATCATTGCTATATGATTGCATGAAGAATAGCCAGGCGTGCTTTTTGCTTCTCTATCTGAAAAATTTCCTGATGAAATTATATGGATTTAGTGAAGCGTATGTTTCATATCTATCGGGAGTTTCGAAATATTACATCTTTCTCCAGTCAGAGTTTTTCGTCGTATTTTTAAAAAAAAAATTTTTAGTGTTTATATTGCAGAAAAGTGCAAGAATATAGTCCATCAGAAGCAGCTAAAATCTATGAAAAGGCGTTAAATAGTAGAAAAAATATTGCGATGTTTTATCCGCAAACAGCTCTACAAGAGTTGCGACCCGAGACTGCTAGCCAACGTGACACAGTTAATAGTCATATAAACATGGCTAACCAAATAGTTTATGTTAGCTTTTATCTATTTATCATTTCTTTCCTATCATTTTAATTTAAAAGCTCGCATTCTGTATAGAGAATCTGAAAGATGAAAAATTCATCTCATCGATCTATTTATAGTTTCGAAATATGCTTTTGTCACTTGATCAGAGTGAAGATGATGATAATGAGATCAACGATACTATTGGGCCAATGGTGAGTGAAATTATCCGATCAGGCAGTGAAGAGCTCCGTAATGATAATATTGAAGAAGTTGAAGAAAGAATAAGTTAAGAACCTAAAAAACCTAAAAATTATTGAAAGCGCGACTCTTAGGGCAGTGTTCCATTAGTGTTGCAGTTCTAATTTATACCTAATTATGATTGTGTTATTGATTTGTAAATTTTAAAATATAAATTCCTTGATTCGTCATGGACGGTTCAAATATTGTAAATCCATCAGTTATTTATTTCATTTAGATGTAGAAGCAGCTTGTTTCTACCATACATAAAGTTTGCCATACATAAAATATTTAATTCATGTATTACCTTAGTCACTAATTGCTAATAACTGTAGATCTTTTCCATTTGTAAAACCAGGTTATACTTATGAACCTCTCCATATTTTCGTGGAACGTCGGTGTTTGCTGGATGTATGTATTTTTGGATCTAATTTTTTATTTTTATTTCTTTTGCCTGTGTTTTGTTTCAATTTGAATTATTTTATCAGAATATTTTCGTTTTTGTTTTGCTTTTGATTTATTAAAGATAATTCTCTTTCTTGGCAGATTAATTATGGTTGAATTATGGTTTATCACTTGGTATTCAAGGTTGGTGCTGGCTGTAAAATGGAAAAAACGTAGCACGTAAAAAACGCTGAATGAAAAAATCTCATCAAAAATAGAATGCCAATATGAAAATGAAGCATCAAGGAATAATTTACAAAGTGCACAATCATAAAACGTATGCAATTAGAGAATAAAATCGGTTAAATCATCATAATTCAAAGATTTTTCACCACAAACGTTTCCATTTATTTTTTCATGGTCTTCGGAACATTTAACTTCAATATTTGCGACTGCAGTACCTGAAGATATAAAAACATAAGAGATAAGATGTAGAAACTTTGTCATTCCACTGATTATTTATAATGTTGCAATGTTAATCCGCTGCAAGCCCAAATTAATTTAACGAAAGTAACGTAAGAAACCGACGTAAAAATTGCAAAAATTTAGAATTGAATGTAATGAACAGATCTCTCAACTTTCACCTTTTGCGATTTATGTCTTGCCTCCGAAGCATTTTTTAATTCTAAAATAGGATATAGAAGTCACTTCGACTAAACCATTTCCTCTTTATTTTTAGTTTAAGAGATTTAATAAAAATGGCTAAAAACAATTCCATTCCAACAACACTTCTTTCCTAGAATTTTTATCTAAATTTAAATTCTAAATTCGGAATAGTGATGTCGTTACGCTATCCACAAGATTATGTTTTGCAAATGGGAAGGTTTTCGTTCAAAATTCTAGATGAATGTCCAATGAAGCATATGTTCTCTGAATTTTTTGTTGAAGAGATCTACTCGACATACTCCACTATCCACTATAAGGTCGCTTAGAGCGCCACACAATGGATCCAATACTATTCAAAATTTTATAAAACTTTATAAAATATTTCATAATTCCACCGGATTTCTTCTTTCATTAATAAATTGTTTGCGTAGGAATAATATAAGAAATCTTTTGCTTATATTTATCGCTATCTCACCTTCACCATCTAGCAATAACCTATTTCAAAATGCTGAAGCCGACCGTTGTTACATGTCGAAACATTTATTATTTTATTGTATTGTAATTCACTATAGTCATAAATAATTTGTATAAAATTTAATTCTTAATACATAAATCTATAATGCTATTCTTATTCTTAAAAAATAAAAAGAAACTTGTTTCTTCAACGCCACCATGAACCCTTCTCACATGCTTGCGTAATTCACTAGGTATCGGATATGTCTTTCCACAGATCTCACATGCAAAAGGTCGATCACCATCGTGACGTTTCTTATGATAAGTTAATGAAGCTGCTGATGCAAATCTTTTGGCGCAAATATGGCAGGAAAAAGGTAAATCTGGCTGAAGCAAATTGATGATGATAAGATTCAAATAATATTTAATAAATAAAAAATATTTGATGAAAATCCGAAACATCAAGAATTGTCTGAAAAAAATAAAATTACCGAATAAACTGTTTCATATTTTCTAATATTATTTGCTTCATTATCAGCATGTTTTCTGCCAATGTGCCTTTTCAGCGACTGCATCGATGCAAATTTGATCAAACAAAATGGACAAGTAGTATCTGAAAATAATACTAGGTGAAACAGAATAAAAGACTCGTAAAAATGAAACATGGGGAACAAAATAAAATCCCAACCTAATCTTGGTCTATCTGCTATAGTTGGATTAAATATACCAGAACAATTTAAATTAGAAGCTTCTGCTACGATTATTTTCGCTCTTTCTTTTCTTTCTTGGAGAATTCGTTGTTTATTCAGACAATATAGTTTGTGACGCTAAAATAAAACCAAGTGTATAAACTAAAAATTAAGAAGAAATCAAAAAAAGAAAAGGGAATAATAAAAATTTAAGAAAGAATTCAAAAAAATTTTAAGGTATGCTATGTATATGCTTAAAAAATTTAAGCAAAACAAAAATTTAGATTATATTCATAAAATTCGCAGAAGAAATATCATCCACCAAAATCTATTAATTATATGAAAGACCTTGAGGAAATGAGCGCACATGAAATTGAGATATAAGAATTGAGATATATACCGCTGGATACCGCTGGAACATAAGCATTAGTCTCAGTTGAGGTCCTTAAGAATCAGCTTAGAAATTAGAATCACGTCGCTCGAAAATGGGAAATTTGGATCTCCGACAAAACAATCCACCCCTCCAACCAAACCGTCAGAATACGCGTGTCGAAGATCAGCGGCTCAGCAGACTCACAATGGTTACGACGAAAGAAGATAAAAACCGATCTCAAAGCCAATTTTAAAGAAAATTTTCTCTAAATAAACTATTATCAACCTAGAACTCCGGAATTGCTGGGGCATTTCTGGAGCCTTGTTTGCAATACCAACCAAGCACTACATAACCTCAATTCAAATACGTAAAATTAAAAAATGTTGGGAAAAAATCTAGACCTAAAAGCAAGGTAACCCTGCACTTAATTCCAAAAAAAAGATAGCAGCATCGACAACAAACGAATCAGCTTGAATCATATATGAAAGATTTTTGCTTCAATTTAACTCAGATTCACACGTGAACGACCCATTATAACCATAATTTTGGATAAAGGAACACCACTTCAAATTTCAACTTTTAAAATGCAGCTTATCGTCATATGTTTCATTAATTTTTCCGCTGCTTTCGATTCCATCGATAGGACCGTCCTCTGGCAAGTTAATGAACATGGCGATGTTCGAAACGATGTTCCAAGAATGACCTATTAAAGCAAAGCAAATATGTGCATATGGTAATCTGTTGATATATGAACTTGTGTTTGTGTTTTTTCTCTACAATTTTGAACTATGCGATAAACTGATCTATGAACGACGTTTGCTAACACTATGACGACTTTTCATAGTTACGCAGAATTACGACAGACATTAAGGTGTAAAACAACAGCCGCTGATACTACTTACATTATTTATATGAATTCACATGGTAAAAACGGTTCAAGAAATATCGGATTTCAATATCTGGAATAAACTGTTATAGCCACTGGTGAGACAAAGAATGAAATTCCAGCCGCACCTAGAAGTGTTTTTTCTTTTTTTAATCTGGCGAAATTTCTTTGGAATGAAATCGCCATGTATTAAAACGAAGGCTCATATCTATCTAGCCTGGCTGTTAAAGTAAATAATCCTCAAATACCATCTGTATTGAATCTGCATTGAACATCATTGCTGAACATCGTTGCCTGCGCTGGTTATGTTTTTTGTTGCTCATAACAAAAATTCATACACTTATCTACATGCTAAACTTTGCGATGGATAGAAACAAAAACGAGGAGACCAAATTAAGACCTAGATATAATCAAAATTTCGAGTGCATAGAGGGTTCAGCGATATTCTGACTTAATCAATACAAAAAGGATTCTGATTAACTTAAGGGAGTTAAATGGCGAAGCTTGGAAATGTCTTATATGTGTCTTATTTTATCACCAATGTTAACTAAGCCAGTAAAAGTTAGCGTTAGAAATTGAATTCCAGTGCAAATAAAACTCAAAAAAAATAAAAAATTACCGTCAATTCAAAAAGTGTACCGAACTTCAAATTACATCTTTGGCATTTATAGTAGCTTTCTTCGATTTCTTCACCATTTTCTCCAACATGATGAACTCTACTTCGATGTATTGCCAAAGTTGATTGAACTCTAAAACCGAAATTTGTTTCTGATGAATGAATCACAGACAGCTATAAAATTAAAAAAATAAGAAAAACTATTTCTTCAACTTCAAATATCAAAACATAAAATATGTGAATTCTGATATATTTTATAAAATCAAGGAAAACCTATCAGAGAGAAGAGAGCAATAAAAATATTGCTAAAAATAATAAATATGGTTCAAAATGATGTTATAACTGAAAATAACGAGATCTTTGACTGCATAAAATCGAATTACAAATCAATTTTACTTGAAAGTTACTGCACAAATATTGCATCGATACTTCGTATGGGAATGGATATGTTCCTCGTGACGTTTCAAATGATGTTTTCGCTTAAATCGTCGGTGGCAAATAGTACATTTGAACGCATAATTCTGAAAAAAAATTTTATCAGGCTGATAATTGATAATCAAATAAAAACTGCTGAATAACCAAAAATAATCAGTTAAAGATTGAAAAAATTAAAAAATTAAGGTTGTGCATAAAGCACCTATGAGAGAAGATAAAAACAATAAAAACAACAAAAAAACAAAAATTAACTTTATCAGCAAGATGCATAGAATTTATATGATCTCTCATTACTGCTTCTTCGCCAAAAACACGTCCACAAGCAAAGCAAATAAGCAATACATTGATCTAAAATATACAATAAATATCTAAAAATTTTAAAAGAACAAAATGAGAAAATAAATGCAAATTTTGTATATTTACGACAAAATGACAATTCAGTAAACCTCATCATTTTTCTTTTTCTTTTTGAATGTTTCGGTGATATTTTCATTTTTACATATTTCATCCCATTCCTTTTGCATTTCCGCAATAACTGCGCTCGCTCCTTGGAGTCTTTCAATTTCTTCTGCTGATCGTTCAAACTGAAAACATTTTTTTTCATAAAACATTACAAACATTTTATTAGAAATGAAAAACGTAAAGAATGCAATGGTTAGAATTCATGAAAACAAACCTGGTTCATAAATTCTGATGCAGGCATACTTATAAAATAATCTTCTTCACGACTATGAACTTCGTCATCACCATCTTTATCATCAGTTTCATCCAATGTTGGCATATCTTCAAAATTATGACTTTCCGGTCGATGGTCCCATTTCGAATATGAGGCGAAACTATCTATGGCGATACGCCAGCGCCCATGAGCTATATCTTTCGCATTTTCTTCATGCCGCTTCTTGCCTGAATAATTCGTGGAGGTTTTAAGATAAGAAAAGATAAGATAAGAAAATGTCAGGAAGCGAAATTTTAATAAGGAGATATCCCCAAAAGCTCACATTTAGCGCCACTATGTGAACCTGTTTGACGTGCAGATATATCAGGTAAAATACAATTATCCAATTTTGCATGATCTGATGTGAGCTTTGCATTAATAACTGACTCATCAAATTTATCATTGGGTGCTGATCCACTGGATGAATAGCTGTCTTTATCCTCGAAATCACTGAATATAGGTACCTAAATTACAAAAAATGTGCTTAATTAATTTTGGTACTTGATAAAACTTCCAGGGTTTTCTCCAGAGACAATCCAGAAATCATCTATCTATTCATTACACGAAATCTTGCTAGCTCGACTTCATGTTAAATGTAAGCACTTGGTGATACTTCTAGCTATTTTTGCAAGTGAATGCAAATGAGCCAGGATTAGGTTTAATTACACAAGTCGAGGTAATGCATTGGTTTAATTACTCACAAGTCGAGGTAATAGAGGTATAATTACCAAGTTAACTGATCATTTTCTCATAAAATGCATTTTAAATGCCACACATAAAAACGCAAAAATAATTATTGACTTTATTACCATAAAATATCATTACTGATATTCTCAAGATCTGCCAAAAAAAAAGAAATCTTCCAAGAATAGCAATGTCAAGCTTTTTGACTAATGCCTTATTTATCTTGTGTGATCTTTAAAATCACTATCACATTCAAGAAATTTGATTTGAAATTTATATTCTAAAAATTATCAGTAAAAGACTTCTATATAAATTAATCATCATTAATTATTATTAATTATCAATTGATTATTAGTTATTAATGAATCCAAAGGATAGAATGGCTCAGTGGGTTGTTGCTCAATTGGAAGCGCTGATGCTGAGGTTCGATTCCCCGCAGGATAAACCTGTCCAAAAATCCAAGTGATGCTGGTGACTCGCCTGCATTTCTATCGCCAAGGGAATACTTGGCATATTTGTTCAAGGCGATAAGCCAGTGAAGCGAGTTTAACGAGTAATGTTAAAGACTCTTTAAAAATAATAAATTATAAATTAATCATTTAAATTATAAATTATAAATTATTATTATAAATTACTATCCCATTATAAATAAAGTTTAAATTTTTCACTTTTCTCTAGTTTTTCCTTTAATTGAACTGGAAATCATAATTTTGTTCATAATCTTTTTTCTTTAATTCTAAAATCACCAAGTATTAATCGACTAAGCTACAAAAATAAAAAATCGGAGAATATAGGATTTATCAAAATTTGGCTATAAAATTATCAAAACTATAGCTATAAAATTGTAGTCTGAACCGATTTTATCAGATTCAACCATTCGGATGAATTATTTTTTTCCATATTTGGATATTTGAAGTACTTGAAATAAGTTGTGAAACAGTTTTGCAGTTTACCTGAAAAATTATATCCTTTAAAATCTATTGAGCTATAAAAAAGAAATTAGAGAATAATAAAACACAAAAATTTTAATAAAAACATAGACGCTAAGGTGATAATGCGAAATTAACGAGACTGAACTACATATGAACGGCACGATCTATCGTTCACTTTCCCGTTCTTCGATATCAAAGGTTATTGCTATCTCTTTTCGATCTCCTAAAGTTTTCCAATTCTTCTCCTTCCTATTCTTTCTAATTCCTCTAATTCCTCTCCTTCCTATTCTTTCACCTATGAATTTTCCCATACAATCCTGTCATCAAAACTGAAATAAGAGTGGTGTTAGGGACAAAAATGCACTTATATACCTAACTAATTCTCTTGCGTCTCATCCTAACACTCTGTTAAATAAGGAAACAAGAAAAAGAAGGAACTTCCACATCCACCTTTTTTTTCATTCATACCAATGTAATTTTACTGCTCCTCTAACTTCGACGAAAAAATTACAAATAAATTGCTCGACATATACACGTTAGGTTCCGAATAACTTATAGGTTGAATCAAATATGATTATT